CTTGAATACTTTTGCAATATCCTTTTTATCCATATTATTTGTTGGATCAATATAATATTCAGAAGAGAAGTAAAGCCATAAGAGTCTGGGACACTTGGTGATAAAAATCGCCTATCCTATTCTTTGTAGTTTTGTATTGAGACCTTTCAGAATACTTATATTTTATTTTCTTTTTCTAGTATATAGCTTTAATTGGTTTATAAGTAGGTATTGTACATTCATTATCTAAAGCCAAAACACAAACCTCAGTCTGGCTTGCTTTAGTACAACAATTCCAATTGGGAAACCAGCTTTTACAAGGAGTACAGTCGTTGGGATTGTTTTGTAGATAGGTAAAGCTTTTTGTATTGTATTATAAATTGTTTTATTAACTAAATCGATATATTTTTTGATTCTAGTGCTAACCGGAATATAGCCTGTATTTGAGCATTATTTGTATAGCTCATTGAATTATACTTTGGAGTCGAAAAGAGTGACAGGGAGTACACAGGTAATAATCGCTTTTCATAAGCAGGCTATAGATGGTCTATAGGCTGTATGAGTTATTAATTGGATATAGGATGTAATATGTATAGTTTTTGTAGTATGCATTTTGATATACTATAGAAATATTAGATGTCAATCAAAAAAGACGCTAAACTAGTATAAAATCGGTTGTACTTTATTGGTAAGCCTTAGAGGGATTGGCATAATAATTAGATCCCGATTTATCCTTATAACCAGATTTGCAATTTCATATTTCCTCGATATATAAAATAGTTCAAATTTTTCTGGAACGAAAAAGATCTTATTCTGATCTTCTCATTATAGAATGTATCGAATGGTTTGGTGGAGTATACATATATTTATAGATAGATTCTTAGATGTATGATATATAGTTATATTGTTAGTATATCTAAAGCACTGTACTTTATCTTGATTAAGAAGTTCAATAAGATAAAGGGTATACAGGATAGGGGAGAGTAGCGATCTCTGGGGGGTACTGTATACGACCGGGAAATCCTGTATTGTGATCCCCTCAAGTCTTACACATATATATCTCTCAGTCAGGAATAAATCAATAAGTTACAAAAGCATTATAAGCCAACCCTGTTTCTTTATATGTTATAGAAGCCATCTTTAAGAAGTATATTATAAACACCTTATACATCCATTATTACTAGTATAACCACTTTGCCAGCTGCTAAAATAAGCTTAGCATTATAAGTGAAGGCAGCTGTGAGATCAATACCGGCTCTTTTCGGTAGCGCTTTGTAATACTAAGGGCTGATAATGTTGTATTTCATGGCTGTTTATGTAATTTGACTGGCGATATACCTTTCTAATCCTTTTTCAATATATAATATCAATACAATCAGTCTCCACAATCTCGGAGACGTTCTATCCTTCTTATCAACCTTAGATAGTATAACTATTTCAATAAGTTTCTACTCGTTAGGGTAATAGCTAAGTCTAAGGCAAATTGCGAAAATCTTATATATTACATTCTTTGTACTAAATCAGTATGCCTTGAAAAAACAAACAATTATTTGATCGATTCCGGATGATATGCTTCTAACTTCTATTATATGTTTTTCCATTTTCTTTATAATGATTGTTCTTTTTTATAATAAAGTTATTTAACAGTCCTGTTTCTATAAAGGGTTGTGCTGTAGATTGTCTAATACTTTAAAGCAATCAAGTATCATTATAAAGAGTGCTTCGGCTTTTTCCCTAATATTAATAATCTCCTAACCTTCAATCACCAGAGAAGAGACCTTAAGGCTTGCTTTTAAGGTTAGCTTATACCAGTTCATGACTTTATATAATTCCTGATCATCCTATACATTATCCAAGCGCTTAGTCCAATAGATTTGTTTCAATGCTCGCATGACCCTCTGTAGGTCCTGCTGAGCCGTTACCATTCCGTCAGCAGTTCCAGTTCTCCTGGCTTGTGTGTATGTTCGGTGTGCCTCCTTACACTCGTCGGTCCACCACGGGGATGATCGGTAGGGTTTGCGGCCTTTCTGCTCCACAGCTATTACAGAGGCGCTCAGTGCGCTTGTGAGTCTGGTGATCAGTCTGTCGACATCGTAGGTAGATCGGCAGAAATGAATTATATTATAACTACTTTCTAGAATATATTATAACACAAAGTAGGTTCGCTATACCTACAGACGCTTTCCCGGCTCACTTGTGATAAAGCCACTAGTACTAGACTTCTGTAGAATCTTCTGATTACATTAAACTACTTATTATATGATTACCTTCAGAAATTTCGGCTAGAACCAAAACCATTTCTTTACGCCTCCATTCCTGTTTGTTTTTTAAGCCTATCTAATACCTCCATCATACCCTCTGCCCTATAATATCCGATTATAGATCGATATACACATCCGTCCTCTCGAGCCATATAGATAGTGTCACTATCACTGTCATTATATGCTATGCCTTGCAGCTAATAATTGTTTTGCATTACCTTACCAGATCTCTCCTGCACAATAAAACCGACTATATTTTGCAGGCTTGTTATTTCAGATCCCTAGCCAGGTAGTTCTTCTATAATGTTTTTAATCTACTAATTAAAGCTCTGCTTGTAAAATCCATTTCCCCAATATATAGTTTATAATCGAAAATAGAACGCTAGGAGCGTGTTGCACATATATATTGTAGGATTGGCCTCTACCTGAGATTCTCTATTACTGTAATACCGATCGAGTGTTGTTGAGTATGGCTTACTAAAAGCGTTCTTCCTATATCGAACTTCTCTACCACTATATTGCTTCCACACACTCGAAAATAAGGTACTAAAAACATTTCTTCTCCTACTCTATATATACTCCTGTTGGTCTCAGTAGATATTATTCTAGCCTTTGTATACTTCTTATTACTCCCCTTACTATTTGTAAATATCTGATTTGGTATACTTACGGATTATATATATTATTAGATTATGAAAACTCTGTATACTAGTGTTTCAGAAGTATTCTATCGATTTTCGTTCGTTAAATTAAAGATATCGGCTTTATTCTCAATATAAGCTTCAGTTAGATTCAACTATATTATAGAAGCTTTATTATCTATTGTTTCAAGGACTAGTTTCGCTTTGCAGATATTTTGTTGTGATATATTCTAGCTTTATTTTCTATATAGATTTGTAAAAACATGATTCCATATCAATCCCGCTCTCATCTCCCTTCCACCATCGAATAGTTTTTATTTCCATTTTGTTGATAGTTCTCTGTTCTAAGTATCTTTGCGATTACCCTCTGGTGATTAGCTATATATACCTTTGCTCTCAGTACAGCCTCCGATTAGTGTACAACCACCACCCAGTTCCAGCTGACTCTACTTAGCTCTCCGATCGCACGATCAAAGGTTTGTAGGATACACCACGTACAGGTGAGAGTCATCGTATCCCTTCTTAGAATTTACAATTACAAAATTAAAAGTAAAACGCTTATAGAACACTTCTATATACTAACTATATATACATGATCGTGCATATGCGCAAGCACGCACATAAGCGATCACAACTGCGATTGGGTGCGATCCGTGACAATATATATAATATAAATGAAATCGAATTTGGAATTGGAAATACTCAAAGTATTTATATAATAATTGATTCTATTCAGAAATCAAATTGGAAAGTTATAGCTAGTAAATAAGAATAAATAACTGTATTTGAATATATCAATATAGCTAGAAATACTCTATCACCTATAATCATTTTCAAGGCTTAGAATACAAATTCTGTATGGATTTTAAAAGACATATCTCAAAGCTGGCAGTTCTCTACTAATACAAATGGATGGACCTCAAATAGTTATAGATTAGAATAATTAAAAAGGGTTTTTGAATCAGAATCCAAGAAAGTGTTAGATAACCAATCTCGACTTTGATTATAGATGGCTATTCAAGCTATATTATAGATAGCTTTATTGCTTTCTATATAGATAATGATATTGATTTATTTATATTACCTTCTCATTGCTTTTATTTGCTTCAGCCATTGATATTACAATGTATAGACTAATAAAACGATATTATACTTTAAAGGTTAATCGATATTCTCGAACTAGTATAAAGCAAATCCAAAAAGCTGAATGGATAGAATTCTTTCAAAATATTAGAAAAAAAGTATTGAATTCTTCTAATATTAAAGCTGGTTGAAGAGGAACTGATTTAATACCTTTTGCTTCACGAAAAGTATTCGATTCATTATTATTTAATTCCTTCCAGCAACCTTTTACTCTACAAATGAAAACCCCCAATCAAGATCTAGACTTGTCTATACTCAGGAGTTCTCCTCCAGATGGAATAGAACTAAAGCAAGCAAATCAGATCTTTAATACAATTCTAGTAAATAGTGGTTCTCCTGTATTGCCAACTTATCAATATATTAAGAGAATGATTAGGCTTGTAGAATCTCAAAATATTAAGATAGCTTTATTTTGGAAACAGTTCTCTAATACCCAGGAGGTAATTAAAATTCGAAAGAAGAGAATTAAAGGCAAAAGAGTTAAATTACAAGGTCAATTTGTTTTTAGTATTAAGGAAGTATTGAAAATGGTATATAAGGTGGAGGAAAAACTGAAGGAGAAAAAGCCATAAGGATAGCTATGCAAATATCCAATTGAAGAATCAGAAGAAGAGATTGAAGAAGAAAAGCTAGAGAATAGTTTAAGTGATTCGGAATTGGAATTGGAGGATTATATAACTTGTAGAACAAGATCGCATATAGAATAATTGAAAAAGTGTCCGAGTTCCCCATATGTCCGAGTTCTCTATATGTACGTTATATTATTAACATTTAATTAAATTTTGGATCAAGTAAGGCCATCTAAATTCATCAAGGTCCTCTACTCCAATCTAACTCATTCAACCAATCCAGATTCCCAAATGCTCCCACATCATCACCCATTGCATCTAGATCATCTACTCCCATAATACCCCACATCCACAATTCCCATTCCATTCTCACACTCCCAACCCATCATTCCCATCCTCAACCAACCCTATTCCACTCCTCTCCCCTCTTGTCCCTGTCCCTGCGAATTCCCACGACCACCAACTCGATGATTCAAAATCTGATCTAGAATCCTCTTCACCAATTTACTCATACGTCCCCACAGTAGATAATTCCCCGCACTCGGTTTGATCCATTCGAAAAACCCAACCAACAAACTTAAGTTCTGCACAATTTCCGACGTCGGGAGTTTGATCGTCGATTCATGCGGCGATTTCATCTGTTTAAGGATTTCTACACACAAGACTCCGCTGGAGGGAACACCCCAACACATCAGCATCCAATCGTAATCATGATGGTGTTCGACGAAGCGATCGCGTTGGACCCAGAAGAGGACGGTCAGTTGAAGCATTTCGAGAGCGCAAGATATAATGGATTGGCCGGAGAGAAGGAGAGATTTGTGAGCGAGTCGTTCGAGCGTGAGTCGTTGTTCGAGATATGCGAGACGCAGACCGATGCGACGCCATAGTACACTATCAGATATCAAAGGAGAGTATACGTCGTTAGGACGGTAATGGGTGTAGCAGGGAAAACCATCGTAGGTTTCTTGTAGACGAGCTAGAAGATCGGTAATGCGGGTATCGCTGATATTACCAGTGAGAGATAGTTCGAGAATTTCATCGGTGATTATAGTAAGATAGCCGTGAGCGCGAATGTACGTTGCGTTTGTCATTCTGCCTTCTTGATTCCAGCCATTGGCGTCTAATTTCCCCGCAGCTTTCCTAAGAGCTTCGGGACCTTGAGCAAATACTTCATCGTCGATGTCAAGAGGGAAGCGGAACCGTGTATAGCGGTAACTCAAAGCTGGTGGGCGACCTGTAAGATGGGCAGAACTTTTATCGACATTGAATATTATCGTGAATAAACGTCTTTTACACTCGGATAAGAATGTGACGGGTCCATCATTATCCGGTTGGCGATGGAGACCAAGTGCCGTTGACATGCTAACCAAGTCTCCTATCTGTCTCCAAACAATCAAACTCGCGTCGCCCATGATTACAGTAGCAATTATAAGATTTTGAGTCAAAAGTCCCACCATGACGGTATTAATGTAGTCCATATAATTAGACAATGTGACACAAGCTTGTGTGCAATCTTTCAACTCTAGAGCGAAATGTTTTCGGTCTTTCCTTTGCCCAGGCTGAGTTGTAAAAAAAGCATCTCTTTCAGATAGCGACAAAATGGATTGACATAGAGCCGCAAATATGAGTCCCACGGACTCCCATCTCATATTGGGTCCTGTAATACTGTCTAACCAAGGTTGGTAATCCTCTGCCTCCTGTAAATGATGCTCGGAGTTCCTGCATAGATGCGTTAGATACGTTCCATATCATCGAGACGTCTTGGCTCTTTAAACTCCTTTCCCCATTGAGACCACAAAGAATATACTATTTGTGCCGAAATTAGTCTTGGGGTATAAGGACTACACTCGCCTTTCCTTTCCAAAAACCATTTCAGCAAATGGTCACATGTTCGTTTGTCGGGCAGTTTTTGCAATATCTTGATTCCGAGCTGGATTCGTGGGGACCCTCCAAATGCATTTCCGGGTAGCATCAGGAAGTTATGAGTCTGGAGACTATCATAAGATGGAAGTGCACCAGAGTCATTGGAGATTTGTATATCGTTACCGATATTCTCCCGATTTTCCTCGAATACAGCGGAGAAGTTTGTTGGGCCAAAGAAACCCCCGGATTGTATTCTTCCTGGTTCCGTGGGCCTACTATCGGGAGAAAGCAGGTGATCATTTGTAGATATAATAGAAGGAGTTGGAGCTGGAGTTGGAGTGGGGGTTGACAGAATACCGACAGTTTGTTCGTGCTCCCTACTTGTATTGGATTCCCCTGTAGGTGGTCGACGGGTCATAGGAGCTGAGAGGTATATACATTTTGCCGATGCTTTCCGTCGCTTACATCGATCACATACGGGAAGACTATGATCACAAGAAATTTTTGCTTTTCTGCATGGCTCACACGCGGGCTGTTTGCCATTTCGTCTCCGTGGGACAACTCCGTGTCCGGTCTCTCTGCGGATCGACATATGTATTGAGTATATAGAAGTTTTAAACAATTATCGCATTACAATGATAGCTAGTTAGAATTTGCATGTAGGACCAAAAAGATAATAAGAAAAATTGAAAAGATGTGTCGAGAAAACACAGGTTGATAGAGGATTAGCAATACCGTTTCGTGACGGAGTTCAACGTCGGCCTCGGAGTAGCTAGATTTTAAATTAATCCCGGCTCAACAATTCTAATCATGAAAAAGCCAGCAACATGAATATCGGTTCCAAAGCTCCTGAGAGATTATCTGTATCGAGTATGTCTACACCATTTCTAATTACTTTATCGATACCGAAGATAGTTCTTCGATGTGCTGGTAGCGACACGCCATTATTAGATGAATGAAACCACTCTCTAGCATTTTGAGCAGGAGAAACGAGTGTTGTTGACGCCGTTGAGCTACATTTTCTTTTGTAAGTCCTTGTTTTATATGGCTTGTAACTGGGATATTATCTTGCCATTGTCCAAATGAGATGAGTACAAGTAAATATAACACGGAGTCATCACAGGAGCCTCTATCGTGATATACTTTTCGGCTTGCCACACAAGAAGTTCCGAATGTACCGTTCTTATATATCGACAACGACAGTTCAATAAGTGCCGTGGATGGTGCATTTACTTTTTGCTCATATTGGTGGATTCTCAGACGTAATCATCAGACAAGAACTGCTCCGCAGATGTCTCAAGGGTGACAGCATAACCATAATCAATATGCTTTATGTCAATTTTGTTCGTCGTAGCAAAATACCATTGTAAACACATCCAAGTGGACTCAATACTGTTGAATTCCCGTCTGGAAGAGAGTAGAGTACATCGTTTATGATTTTGACAACCAGTTCATTATAATTCTCGACGCTCACCGCAAATCTTGACTAGATCTAAATTCTGGGCAGGCAGATACTTCACCATTTTGAAAGCTAATCGCATTGTTGATGGCGAAGGCCAGATCGAGGACCCGTCATTCTATAATCTCAAATATATAGCATGAGAGCAAGAGCCACTTATTTTGGAATATTTACGTGACTTCACTCATGGAAACAGACATCCCAAGTCCCCATTGGAAGCATTTTCTTCCATCCACAATGTTGTCAATTTAACCTCGGGATTTGTGGGTACACAAGGAGAATTATCGACTTTTCTAGACAGTCTTGGAAATCTTCATAACTTATTTGAAGGCGATCAATGTTCCAACAGGCCGAAAGCAAAGTTGCGATTGGCTCATTTAAATCCAAGCCCTTTCCTTCATACTCTTCATCCGAAATCCTAAACCTCCTAGCACAGACAACAACCGGCATTGAAACGCACGACATTCATATCTCCATTTGTTTCACAGCATTATCAATCACGTGTTCTTGTTGGAGAAAGCATCTCCCTGTAAATTAAATATATGCCATGACTCGTGCGACATTAATACCTAGGGATTTCCTAATCGGGTTTTGATCGCGAGAGAACATTTTGGTGGAAGCGCTTCTCTGGTCTTAAATTCTTCAGTCTGATCATGCCTGGGAGTACAGATGATCCACTACAAGTGCTTGAGTTCAGCCACTACACGGGATGGTTTCCATCGCTCGGCATATTGTACTGAGTTGGGATTCGTGAAGATATCCCAAAGACGGAAATGTAACGAAAATACCACAACGGGTCGTCTTTCATAATGATCAACTTATAGGGCTGGGAGATCTTATATAATATCTATTTCCCGTTGTTTTCTTAACATAGCATTCTTGTTACATTCATTCATCTTTTGGTTAATCAATCTTCACTCCATTCATCTCAGAATACAAATACCAGTACCAGCTGCGCTGTCTACCATTCTTTCATTACCGTTCATCATCAACGAAATCAAAATCAAATCAAAATGTACTCCCCATCCCTCCTCCTCTCTCTAGCCCTCACAACCCTAGCCTCCGCATCCACCATCTCCGCACCCCACTACCCCCGCGCAAACTCCAGCACCTCCAGCACCTCCTCCGCCTGCGTTCCCGCCGGGGCAATCCACATGATCGTTGCCCGCGCCTCTACCGAAGCCCCGGCGAGGGAATCATCGGCTCCGTCGCCACCATGGTCAAAGCCTCTCTTCCCGGCTCCGACTCCGAATCCGTAGATTATCCAGCTACACTTACGCAGTATCAAGCCTCTGAAGCGTCGGGCGTAGCCGCCATGCAGAAATTGGTACAGGCGTATGCGGAAAAGTGTCCCGGGAGTAAGATGGCAGTGATGGGGTATTCGCAGGGTGCGCAGGTGGCGGCGGATGTTATGTGTGGGACTTCTGAAACGGGGTTTGCTGGGAATCCTCAGGCGTTGTCGGCGAATATTAGTAGTAATGGTGAGTTTTTATTTTTCTTATTGACGATTTGGAACTTGAGAAGAGGGAATTTGACTAACCGAAACTCAGTCGTGGCAATGGTTCTAATGGGCGATCCATCCCACGTCCCAGCCGAAACATTCAACGCCGGTACCGCCAAGAACAATGGACTTTTTACCCGTCAAAATATTGCCGCCTGTCCTGCCGAGAAAACAGTCTCTTATTGTGACGATCAAGATGAGTAAGTCATTCCCTCTTCGCCTACCCTCTCTACCCTCTCTACGTCCCAACCCCCATCAACCACTCTAACACCCCAATCAGATTCTGCGACTCCGGCAACTCCCTCCAAGTCCACCTCTCCTACGTCACCACCTACGGAACCGCCGCCGCGAAATTCATCACCGATAAAATGTCGGCGAAACCACCTCCTCCACTTCCACCTCTTCCACCTCCACAAACGGAACCGCAAATGCACAAAGCGCGCAGAGTCTTACGCGCGCGGCTACTACTACTAGTACGAATGATGTCGCAAAGATGAGCGCCTCTTGGGGTATGCTGGCTTTCTTTTTGGGATTGGGAGTTTTGATTTAAAATTTGAATTTGAATTTGATTTCGGATATTGTGTTTTTTTTTTCACGCTCACATTTAGTGATAAGAAGATCTAATATCCTATCTTTTTTTGCGGTGTTGGGACACAGCATAGGCGTAGGCGTAAACTAGGCGTAGGGGACGATAAAAGGAAAGGGGTAATCGATATCCACTTCTTTCTATTTCCATTTCTCTGTCTCTTTCTTGATTTTCACATCTCAATTCGAAGAGTCGTTATATGGATTGTACTGGATACCAGAGGAGCAGTTGATCACATAGGTACTTTGATTTATTTCAAAAAGAATTTATTCCGTACTTTCAAATGTCAAATGAGTACATAGTAGTATCAATCAAGAAGATTTTGTTATACCATGCATGATGATGATATGTGAATCTGATAGACGTGATATCGACCCCAACTATTTAACCCACACTGAGAAATTTCACTTCCACTTAACTGCTAGATAAATAGCCAATAACTCCATCATTCACCTACGAAACATTTCAGCACTTCTCATCATCACAACCTCAGCTCCCATACATCACCGCAAAATTCATCACGGCCTACCCTGAACTGAAAGATATAAAGATATACCACCGATGACTTTCCTGTATTGTAATGTGTAAAATGTGTCAATACACTATAAGCTATCTGATAAGCTCATCCTAATTCTAACGCCAAGACATACAGACACCGGCCCATTAATACTGAGGATACACTTATAGCGCCTAGGAAAAACCCACTCCAAACACCAATAGCTACGCACCAGAAATGTCTACTTTACGTTACGTTGCGCTCTGCACTCGTTACTCATTCGCTTAATGCTGTCATTTCAAGATTTGACTTCTACCGGGTCCCCCTAGCACTTCAGTCATATCTTTATCGTTATCTTCATCTCCATCTCCGTTGCTACTTCTAAGAATAGCTGGGCTTGGATTCACGAGAGATTGACTTCCGCCCCTACTCCCATTTCCCTCTCCGCTACTAAACGGTGATATGTGACTTTTTGTTTCTTTATCACCAGCATCATCAATAAAGACAACATGCCGTTTTACTCCTTCATCTGCATCATCATTCACATCTTCAACCTTACTATCAACCGAGCCGCCTTTCCAACTCGAGCTATCTCCGCCCCCACTCTGCCCCGACCCCCTTTTCAATTCCGGACTTGGGGTTCTCGGTCCCGGATGTGCAGGATAATGCAAACTGTGCTTCGCCTTCCTGTGAAGATGTTTCCTCTCACTCTCCTCTATCCTATCCATCTCAGCCTGTTGCGCTCTCGTAATTTTTCCCTGTCGTCTCGTGTACCTATTCAAGCTCTCACACAGCCGATCTAATACCCATTCACTCTCGCTAACATCCGCTAACATCGGACTATCCTCACCAATCCAATCCCATTCGACCAATCCCTCATCTTCCTCTTCCTCCTCAACTTCCTTCGCATTGTGCGTGCTGAATCTGATTAAGCGAGTGAACTCCACCCATTCCTCATAACTATATGCCTTTGGTTTCTCAGCTCGTAGATCGTTCGCGACGCGTTTGATAGCTGTTGCTAATTTTCGGGCTAGATCATGTTCGGTATGTTCAGAAGGTTCCTCAATTTCCTCAACAACCTGACCCAGAGAGGATTCTGGATCTGGACCGATATCGTCAATTATAGGTATTTGTCTATCGTCAGGATTTTGCAATTCGAAACCATGACGAATACGCTTTTTAGCTTCTCTTTCATCTGTCTTTTTCGACAACCATGCATGTATTCTTGGGTGATTCATGAGAAAATCATGCCAAACACCCGCTTTAGGCATAATCGTCCAATCGGCTAATGTGAATGTACCACGATTGATGGCTGCTATAACTGTAGAACTCATATCCGAAATGAGAATCGTCATGGTAGGTATTGCAATCAAAGACCAAACGACAAAGAATGGTTTCCCAGCATTGGATCTCGGTGCAAAATCGCCATAACCAATAGTTAAAAGAGAAACGTAGCAAAAATACAAAGCCTGAAAGTATGTTAAGTCTTGTTCACGCTTTTCGGCTCTCCAGAAAACAGTGGCACCTCCGCACCAAAGAATTGAGAAGGCGAAAATAGACATTGATAGTGCGTAGTATTGCTTGAATTTTCGTACATTTGTTTGAATCTGGCGCATAGCATCAAAACGATCCTTTTCTTCTCTGAGTAGAATTAATTTCTCTCGACGCTTAGCATACTTTACTCGGGGAGATTTGTTTTCGGCATGTTTATGAAGCTTAGCGTCGCGACTAAGAGGAATGAGTGAATTATGTGTCAGCCCAGCTCCCCCTCGACCACCAGATGAATAGGCTCTCCTTTGATGGAAAGTGATGTTCTGGCCTTGAATATCAAAATGACCATACTGGTCAAGCGAAGGACGACGCATTAAACCTGAGCCGGAAGCTCCGGAAGAATCTCCCACTGCACCACGGCGATGTATGTCAGGTTTGGGAGGTAAGCCGAGACGGTCGCGAATCTCTTTCTCATTCGTGACTGAACGACCAAAGGTTTCTTGTTGTTGACGCATTGCATGATGCTTGACAATCTTGTCCTGTGACATACTAGAAGCGAATTTGCGCAAACTATTGATCATAAGACCAAGGAAGATGATACCAATGACAGCATATGGAAAAAGAAGCCCTCGACCAAGACTGTTATTAGGCACGAAATCTCCGAAACCGACCGTCAAGATTGTGACATCACAGAAATAGAGAGCATCGGCGTATTGAAAGCCACAGACCGTTTGATAAACTCCAGCTCCACCAGCCAACCATATAAAGAACATCATGGTTTGTAAGATCAAAGTTCTTTGATCGTCATCGAGTTCAAAATGTTGTGGGTAATGACCGAGGAAATAGCCGAGCATATTGACCATGAGAACCATTGACCCTAAGAGATATAACGAAGCTGCCATAACTGCGGACCAGAATCCCTGAGACCAAGTTTGACCAGGACGAATTGGCGGGACGTACTCGTGCATAGCTAATAAGATACCAATAAGCTATGAAATACATGTTAGAATTGAAATTGGTACAAGGACCTTAGACTTACGATGCCAGTAGACAAGTACCAGAAGATTATCGATAGAGGTAATGCGACGATATACCTGACCCTGCGCATAAAATTCAGGAGCAAGAAAAGATTGCCAGCAAACCCACATCCAAGAGAAATAGCATTTAGGACGATTTCCCTTAAATCTCAAATTAGTAACATTCGTGAGTTTCTTCAAAGATCTCCCACCATTCTGGATCAGGTATGCCAACGCCATTTTCATCAGCACCAAATGGCAATTGTCCATCATCGGGTAGGTCAGCCCTCCATTTTGTAACCAGAGCGGAAATTGACAAAACATTTGCCAAGGGCCCAATTGTGGCAGCGATGAGAGGGAATGCAGTTGATGCAACCCACCAATCTCTATTGGACTATGGGTCAGTGTATAAATTAGGTAAAGAAGATGAACTCAACGAACTGTGGTAGATCATCCATTTTTGCTCTGAATTTGAACCTCCCAATTCTAAGCAGACCCGGCCCCGACAGTTCATTATTCAAAGTGAGTCGACTGCCGTTATTACCGCCGTTGGTAGTAGTGTGGCCATTGTTCATGAAGCTGGCTTCAGAATTGTTACCCGCCATTGTCATGGTTTATTGGGCGAGATCATCATGTCTCTGACTCCCGTCTTACCTCTCAAGTAGATGCGCTTGTGATTGTTGACCGGCGGATTTTGTAATCGATTTTCTTGAAAGGGCAGACTTTGATTTTCTTTGCCCGGATATCTATTTAAGAACTCAAATTGATATCGGCCGTTGTCTTTGTTCCTTGGCAGTCCACCAAGCTTAACCTTGATTAGGTATAAATACGCTAACGGTGAATTGAGTTGATGTACTTCTCTCAAGCTTTGAAATCCGAATATCTTCAAAATCAAAAGCAGTCAACTGGAATCAATATAAGTAAGTACACACAAAAGAACGAAGAGAATGTAAAGTAAACCAACTAAGTCTCTGTAGTGGGATGATAGCTTCCTGGAGATTTGATCGCCATCACGCTGCATGCAAAATGCCAGGGTATGTATGCGGGCTAGATTACGTAAGGTCAACTAATGCATGAGAATGTGATCTAGATCGTTCCCAGAACTTCGATTGTGTTTGTTAAAGTTTTTGGGAGATTATACCGGATTAGTATCGAAGATAGCAATGTTACTGTGAATGCAATTCTAATAGCTTGAATGAGAAAGAAGGAATTGTATTGAATGCTATTTACATTGGAGTCGGGTAAAGTTACTTATTACTCTCTCTGTGCTGCTCATCATTCATCGAGACCTACAAACATTGGCACATAGGTACATGAAACTTGTGCGGGGAAGCTGCTTGCGAAGAAGCAGCTCCTGGTTCAAATAGATGAAGCCATTTAAAGCTGTAGTCGTATGCGGACGAAATAAATGAATGATAGGCGTTCGTGGCTTAAAACATCCTGATTGGCGTTTAAATAAAGTTTCTTTTCGCATGCTTTAGATCTATATCTAAATGATGATATAACAAATGAAAAAGGTGCTCTCATCTACTCCTATTATCGCATTAGTGTTGAGACGATGAGAGTAGCTTCAAGTCTCAGTGTCCGCTGACATGTAAACAATTCCAAATGTACAAATTTTGCTTTTCTGATTTTTTCAACCCAACTGATATATACCCAACGCCTTGCCTTCACTTGGCCCATATTTACTAAAGAAAAATATTGTCTGAAGAGACAGAGATAGTATGTACTCATTCGGCCTCTTCTCGACCACCCACCCTTTCTACAAGCCTGATAGAACATTAGCAACGTTGAAAAGACATACACCTCAGACGAAGGAACGTACCGAAATATGCTAACTGCAAAAGTCATCCCCCATGCGAGTAATGCTATGGTTATTATGGCACAGAGTGTTTTAGCTCTATCACACACCACACCATTATATCCCGTGTTTCCGACTTTACAGCTCCCGTTGTCGTCTGATATGGCATCAAAAGCTAATGTCAAATTAGAAGCCTCAAGAATAATGAAAAAGAGATCTAAAAGAACGAGTCGAATTTTGGCTTTCGGTGCTCGAAGGCCTAAAGGTTTACCCGTATATTCATCCCAGGTCATGTAGAGAGTATACGGAATTGCAATCACATCTACTACAATTGCCATAGTTGTAGATGGACTTTGAGAATAGGAGTATTTATTCGAAAGATGATGAACCGAGCCTGCAATGCTCAAGGCGATTATTGAAGTTATAAGCACAATCAGTCGAAAAATAAGGGGAACATAGGGGTTCATGAGAATGGTTTGCTAGATACCGTTAGCCAATCATTCATTCCAAAAGCAGAGTGTGGAGCTTACCTGCACGCGTTTTAGAAAGGTTTCCCGTTTCCTTTTGTTGTATATGAGAGATGTAATGTTATCATCATCGTCACCTTCACCCTTCTCAAGATCCCCGCACCATGGTCTATCGTAACCGGGAGTTAAATTATTTAAAAATGCCGGATCGACTAATTTGCGATCCTCTCCTTCGGGCACACCATACGATGATGCTTTGATAAAAGTTCGCCATACAGCTGCATTTGGTTGTACCCCAGCCCTAAGAATGACAGGTTCCGCGTCTCTAGCATGATCCCATTTCCTACCTCTGACCGGTTCGCGCAAACCTCCAAAGAAACCTGTCTCTACTTTCTTGTCGCTTATGGCATTGTACGTATCATCATCGGAGTCAACATATCCATCGAGAGATATTCTTCGCGAAGATTGAGTTGGTGTAGAATTATGCTGAGCTGGATGTATTCTCGAAGGGGTGGAAACTCTTTTGGGTTGCGATGGTGGGTCGTTGTCTTCATATGAATCTATCCAGGCTTTTGACAGGTAAGCTCAAGTCGAGAGTTCGACTGTGGGCCAATAACTTACAAGGAAGGGAACGAACTTCCCTTTGAGCTGCTCGATTCTGTGCATGCGTGCTAGTTGTCGATTGTGTGTTTTGGGTGCTGTAGGTCCTATAAGAGGCGGACGAGTAGGTTTTGGGTCGAACGGCATGCTGAGAACCAGCTCTCTTTGTCCCTTTCATGGCAGCATTCTCCGATGAACCGACGCTCGCAGAATCCGAGAACTGACGTGGGACTGTAAGGGAATCATGTTGAAAATTATTATATGCTTCGAATGGTAGTCCCAGGCCTGGTGTGGTCCGTGGCAATCTATCTGATGTTGCCATAATACCAGGATATCCCCCGATTCGTGTGTCGCAGAGTTAAGACGATGAAATTTTTGACACTTCTTGCAATTCTTTCTTCCAGTCCTAACACGCGATGGAGCAACCCTGAACGACGCTTCAATCGCGGTCGACCCCTCTCCTATTCCTGCATTGTTGCCTTTCGTAATAAGAATTGAAACACGGATTAGCTTTTAGTTATGAATTGAGTACGACAAGAAAGGAAATTGATTGAAGGAGGGGGAAAAGAATTGAGTAAATGAGTGTACGAATGAATAATGAATTAGAAGAAAGAATTGAAGAAAGTGACAAGAGGAATTTAGAAGTGAAATTTTGGATGTTTGTTTCGCGGTTAGTTAAGATTAGAGATGTAGTTGCACTTCTGTAGCTATGAATAAAAGATTAAATGATCTACGGAGGACCACACAGGCCCATTAAACATCTCTATGGGATGATTGGGATGATTGGGATGATTGGGATTATATGGATTTTATGGATTATTACCATAAACGAAACGCGGCGAAGATGGGAGAGCAAGGGGGTGAGGAGTGATCAGAAGGATAAAAAATGATGAGAATAATAAGACAATTCAAGGTATAAATTGGAATTTGAGAACATGGGGGAGTTTATAATAAGCCTTGCAAGGATTCCTTACTAGGTGCCTTCAATTGCAGGTATTGTGAATATATATAAATATACCTTGTGTATACATATATATGTGTATATGTATATGGATATATACGAAGTATTCATAGTATTCGTGGTGTTCACGATATCATGATATTCACAGTATTCATGGGATTCCGGTGGGTGGGTAGATCCTCACGTGGCACTATATGGAGTACCTTGGTAGATATTACTTGCATCGTGTCGTCGGGTATTTGTGAATCTTCACCCACTTCTTCCCTCCCCTCCCACCATTTTTCACCCACCATACACTCAAAATACCTATCGAGCCTATCATCTCACTCCTCACTCACCTACCTAGTACACTTCTATCTAGATCAATCTTTTCTTCTCCCCCCACTTGGAAAATATTCGACTCCATGTACTCGTTCGTACTAGGGATTTATTCACTAGGTACCTACTAGGTATTCAAGGTTATTCTCATGCGTCATTCTATCTACAAGTGAAAATGGATCTTATCTTAGCTCAGCCTCCATGAATCCAGGTAAAAAGCTTTTCGATTTTTGGGTTTTTTTGTAGCTTGATGTTCATCTACCGGTAGTTCTAATCAGTCAAAAAGAGAAAGAAAGAAAGAAGTGCAAGACGTTACTCTCCTAACCAGCACCATCTTCTCATCAAAACTATCATACACACTCCAATGCAATTGAAGTAACAAACGGCATTTCACGAGCAGACGAATAACGACCATTTTACGTATAACGCCTAACGATCTTGTACGACATAATACCCATCTCGAGAATCGCAATTGTGTAAATTTTCCATCTAATTCTCTGGTCCACGAAGAACGAACTATGCGACTCTACCTACTTCCCATCTCCACGCGGCGAACCCTTATTTACTGCCAGCGACTTAATGTTACCACTACAAATGAGGTTTCCTTACTAGATAAGACAAGTGCAAAGGCGAATAATCTTTGGAATAGTTGGGAGAAGAAGGAATCAGGATGGCAGAAGAAGGTGGTCGATTTTGGGAACAAGGCCCTGCAAAGAATACCATATGAGGAATGGGGTTTAAAATCCATTCCTCCCTTGTCTAAACGAAGGCGAGCAGAAGAATTGGGCGACAGAGAGAAAGTTGAGATCTCATTTCCCTCAAATTTTCTTCCACAGGAAAACATTTCGAAAATCCTGCAAGTACTTGGCACAGAGAGAAGACAACTTCACAAGACGAGGTTATGGGGTTCAATCATTGGAATGCCTTTAGTTGCTCCCTTCGCGCTTGTTCCGATGTAAGTGCAGCCAGCTATAACCTCGCCGATAATATTTGGAAGCTAACATCAATCAGTATCCCAAATCTACCCTTCTTCTATCTATGCTTTCGGGCATATAGTCATTGGAAAGCGCTAGCAGGGTCTAAACACATCGACTTCCTTTTGAAGGAAAATCTCATTGTACCAAAGCCATCCAAGATATTAGACGAGCTGTATCTGAGGAACAAGATTCCGTCTCCCGACTCGAAAAGTGCGGCTGATACACTATCATCAAATTCGGATGTATCGGGTGTTGAGACGATGCTACTTCATGCTTCTGATGGAAAGGAAATTGCCAAAGCATTAGACATACCAGAATTGCAAATGGAGCTCGATCGAGCAGTATGGCAAGTAGAAAATGATCTGGAAGATAAAAGGAAAATGAGGGAGGAAAAAGACCAATTGGCCTTGACCAAGGAGGAGGCCAAGAAAAAATAGACAGCTTGTTGTACATTCGTAATACAACCGAACGTAACATATTAGCAAAGGGCAGTCTAGATTATGGGCTACCACAAGAGAAATGACGCATTGTAAGCATAGCGAGCGTATCACGCGCCCAACAATATAGAAATACAAGAGACTATTCACTACCCTTCAGAAGAAAATCGTACCATCAGATCCATTAATCGCCGATCAAGGCAATTAGTTTTCTGGGTTATCAATTTTGGCGATGAATAGACTTCTAGACCTTTACCTAATAGAGAAAGTACTAAAAGAGCTAATTCCGAACTAAAATATCTACCGACCAAGTAGATAAAACCTGCCCATGCTGTGCTGTACTCAGCTGTGAATCATTCACATTACCCGACCCTTTTTATATTCATTATTGTTGTCTACAAGAAAATTTCTTCAATTATATCCAATCTCACTTTGGGACCATTCCAACAATTTCCAGCCTGACGTGCAGTCCCGATAAGAGATAAAAGCGGCATATATTTATATTCGGTACAAGGATTAGCACGATCTAATTTCACCTTGGGATTTTTTAAATATCGCGACCGATTACGTCTCGATCAACGCGACTTTTCAACATGCCCCCACGACGATCCCGAGACAGCGATACTATCGTTGTTGATAAAGATGGTGACGATGAGTGGGCAGCACCATCTTCACCTGAATCAATAGGATCTGATATTGATTTCGCACCAAGAAACAAAATGGCGGCCGTTAGTCCTCAAAACCTCGAGTCGCCTGAGCCAGAGCTGGCTGACGAACCTTCGATCGCGACGCCCAGTTCAGCATCTAAACGATATAGCCCCAGCACACCTCCGAAGTATTTGAATCAAATTTCATTCAGAGATCCAAACTCATCAACAATGGAGGAAAGATTACAAATGATGCCTGCAAAACGTTCTTTGCCTTGGAGGGAAGGAGTCGAAGCGGGCTCTGAGATCGAGACTGGAGGAGATTCCCGTAGGAAACAAATTAGATTTGGCTGTTTGCTTGCTACTCGAGGAAATGTAGTTGAGGATCCTTGCCTCTCATGTGCCAATTCTCGGGGAAAGTTCACCTTATGTATCGCGCTGCCAGGATTTTTCAAGGGAGCATGCGCTAGCTGTCAACTAAGTGGCAGACCAAACCGTTGCAGCATCAAGACTAATGAAGAGAGTAAGTTTTTCTTTGTGAGAAATTCACATCAATTACTAATTGCATACCAATGTAGTCGAGCCCGATGAATTTACTGCAGAAGACGGAATTCGCGTGACTCCAGAACCTGAATCCTCAAGTGCACGGAGAGCATCAGCAAAGAATACTGTCAAACAGACGCCAGATAAATCCAGTACAAAAAACAAGTCTGAAGAAAGCAATCATTCTGGTCCGCCAGCAAAGAAAGCCCGTGTCGAAGAACCAGAAAAGCCAATTCAAACGGGATGGCAAGAACCTCCTGTAGTAGACACAGGTTTGGGATCTACGAAGACGCGCGGAGGACGCCCACCTCGTTCATCTTTAACCTCATGGGCACCTGTCAATTCTCCACACATGGCTACGCGCAACTCGTCCACACCCAACACTCGAAATGGCGGTTTACGCAAGTCTGTTGGCAAATCCGCTGAGAAGGAATCGACCGTCAAGGAACCAACCAGAAAACCAAGCAATACTCCAAGTGCAAGTACTCCTCAGTCAGCTCCAAGCAGACCGGCATCTACAACTTGGGCTTCTGTCAACCAGACTCAAGCAGGATCCCAACCTACATTTCCAAATCTACCCAGACCACAAATTCCAAAACCACAACATGAGCAGTCCAAGCCAGAGCAACAACAAGATAAACCAGACCCGAAGCAAGCCAAACCACCACAACCTCAGCCTCCTCAACCTCAAGCTCAACAACAGCAGCCGCCTCAAACTAGACTACAGCAACATCAAGCTCAAGTACAAAAACAGCAAATTCAGGCCCAAGTCCAGCAACAGCAACAGGCGCAATACCAATCTCCATTTCCACCTCCACCTCCACCTCCACCTCCAGTCCAACATCAACATCAACCCCAACATCAACCTCAACCCCTACCCCAACACCAACCTCTACCCCAACACCAACCTCAACCTCAACTACCCCATCCGCAATTTCAAGTTCAACCTAATCACAGCCCCAACGTCTTCGCAGGTCAGCAACAAGTCATCATGAGTAATGGATCAACTATATCGCAACCCCCACCCCAGAAAGCGGGCAACAAACGTCAACAACGAGAATACCAACCAACTTTTGTTACTACCCCGAATGGACTAAGTTTTGCCGCGGCTCCACTCATAGAAACTTTGCCAAAGCGAAAGCAATTACAGCTAATGGGAATTATCAGTGGTCTTCAAGGAGGTATTGACAATATCCAGAGAGAGCTTAATACGTTGAAGAAAACACTTGGTGTGGAGGATGATGATAATTGATACGTTGCTTCGATGACATTCTGAAATTCACAAGCATTACGGCATCAGAGTACATAAGTTTTGTAAACTAGCCTATATTAAACCTAATAACAATAAAAATGCGTGAATCTAGAAATCATACTTGCTGATAATCTCACGATGTTACAGGTGATTCGAATGATACAGTGATCATAATATGATATCTACATCGCTATGAAAAGACTTCAAAATGAACTCTAAATGCCCATTGTAGGAGATCAGCTAAATTGGTGAAGAATCTCTTCATAAGCGAAAACATGCGAGCGTTCAAGCTGTGCCCTGAAGTCATAAAAAATCACCTTCAAGTAGGTACCTAGGTAGGTAGCTTTAACAAATAAAATTGAATCAAAGTATTCTCTCAATTCACTCTTTATGGGGTCCTGTATTGTTGGGAAAGGAATTGAGGAATCGATTTCACGCTGCTTTACATCTAATTCATAATTTTGTCTAGTAACCCTTTGCCGAGTCATCTAGTTAGATGTACGGTTTCCGGAGGCTAGGCACACCGATAAGAGTAAAATTTAAGGTTATCGCTTAGGCCTAACCACCTCAAGCTAGACCAATCACTCACTTAGCTCTGCACATAACAAAATCTCTCGCTGTCAAGTCCCGCCGACCAGCTAATAAACCACATCATATAAAATGGAACTTCGCGACCGAGGTAACGCATCTGCCAAAACAAGATATTCAGCCAACGGACCAGGACTCTGGACGCGACAGACTGCCGACAACGCGCCAACTCCTGAACCGCGCAATCGTTCTGAAGCAAGTTCAACTTCGCCGTCACCAGAAAGAAAACCAAAACGAAAAAGAGAAGGAAGAAATATGCGTCCCAGGAGACATAGGGCGCCTTCGTTCAGAACGGATATGACGGATGATATAGAAATGAGTGAGACGCCAGAAACAGGTCCAGGACAAAACTACACACAGAACGGACAAGCGTCAGAAAGTAGCAACGAAGAAAGAGTCAATGGACGAGAGTTAAGCCATGGAGATACCTCTGCAGACGATGCAAACGACAAGTACTACTCATTTTGCAACCATAGAAACGAACCGACTTTTCTCGATCGCATCAAGGTTCTACCTGAAATGCGCGATCTACCATGGCGCGAAGACCAGGAATTACCACCGGAAAGATCGACCGAGAGTCAACGTGTTCAGCAGAGAGGTGCATGTATGGTAGCCACCAGAGGAAGAATAATGGCAAACCCATGTTCGCATTGTAAACAGGGCTATGGACGATTCTCTCACTGTATTGTGCTGGAAGAATGGTTTCAAGGAGCTTGCGCGACTTGTATTTTCACGAGTAAAGGGAATAAATGCAGTTTGAGAATAAAAAATCTGGGTATCTACATCCTCTGTTTTATGATCTCGTATGGTGAAAATAGTATTACTGACTCTTGAATTTCACAATTGTAGGGGATCAAGATGCCAGAGCTTTAAGATATACGGAAAAAGTTGACCCCCCCACCAAGCGAAAGCGATCCGAATTCGAAAACCCATCATTTGAAGAGGAGAATAGCATATTCAGTAAATTCAATTCACCAGGTCATTATGTCAGTCCATACCCACCTCTTCCGTCTATACCACGACCACCATTAAGAACCCCCGGATTGAAGGAAGCTCAAGAAGCAGAATTGGATTCCATGTTACAAGCTCAAATTGCCCGCGAAGAACTCGATCAAGGAAATATGGATGAAGGGGAACCAGGCACAAATGGGCAACAGTCACGAGCAGCTCCCATTGTATTGCATCGACCACGATTCTACGAAACTCCTGCGATTAAACAAGTCATACAACAGGGAGGTCCACCTCTTCAAAATAATCAATTTGCCCAGCCGTTGCCGATGCACAATTTTCCCAACAATCAAATTGTTCAATATCCTATCCCAGCCGACGGTTCTATGATGAAAGAACGATCTCTCATCGACGATACCCCGAAGAGTACGCAAAAACAACTATTTACTGTCCTGAGCGGAGTGGCAGGAGGACTCCAACAACTACAAAAAGAATTGAATTCGTTGAAGTCGGTTCTGGGCTGGGATAATGAAGATGATGAACAAGAAGTCGTTCGTCAACAAAACTCATTGTCGCACAAAGATCCTCGACATGGTCCTTGAGCTACTATACTTGACATGAGAAGAGCTAGCTGGAGATTATTGAATAGTTGGCTGTTTATAAGACCCATATATGTAAGGATGTTACACGAGGAAATCAACCCCATTGTTTGTCAGACTTAACTGAGCGGATTTGCATCTTCCGAAGAGAGGTTAACGTGTCGCCGAATTTACGGAACTCGAAATTCAATGGCTGGGCATGATAATTATGAATTGGCTTTTGGTCTTGAGGGTATTGGAGGGAAAGAAGGAAAGAAAAAAGTTGATGAATAAATTGCTCGAGAATAGGGGATTAATTTTACTCGTTCTATATCGATATTACTCGAAAATGGAAGTGGATGAAAGGAAAGGGAATGAATGAATGAGAGGTCTGGAATTCAAGACACGAGAAGTGATGAACTTGGAGAAAGCGGAAGGGTTGTGGGAACACAATTGATGATTGATTGATTGATTGATGGACACAGCAGTTTCGGAATGAAGAAGAGAAGAGGATGATATCAGGTGTGTGTATGTACTACGTGTATACTAAATGAAGTATTGATAGGCGAGCGAGTGAGTGAGCGAGGGAGGGATTACGGATTGCGGATTGTGAAGTACCTATGCAAATCTGGACATCTGGAATGGATGAAGTGATGAATGAACGCATAGACGCATAGATGCGATGATATTCATGAAGTGGTTAGGGAGAGCATGAGGATACTAGGTACCTAGTACGCATATGAATGGATTAAGTTAAGTATTCTTAGGTGTGTGGAGGATAGGTAGCCAGCACCAGCTATACGATAAGATAAGCATGTGTATATGTATATGTATGTCTGTGTGAGCGAGCTAGAGAGGCAGGCAGAGAGAGAGAAAAATCAGAAAGTAAAATGCGGAAATGCTAAAGTTGAAGTTGAAGTTTATATTTGCTAATAAGTAAGAAGTCATAATCTTGGAAGTAATTGGTATGTGGATGAGTAGGTAGGTAGGTATCTAGTAGGTATCTTTCGTGATGGTGATGGTGATGGTGATGGTGATGAGCTCTGTTTGTAGGTATGTTTATGTTTATGTTTATGTATCTCGTATGTATACTAGGTAATGTTTTTTCCGATCATGTATGAGTATACGGTACCTATGTCAGGAAATTATCTATTAGGTGTGATGCGAAAGTACGAAAATTTGAAATGTATGAAAATTTCCAAGGTTGAAATGTATATGTGGAGCTTGTGTATGTAGAGGTATGGTATATATGTATGTGTATTATGTGTATTATGTGTATTATGTGTATTATGTGTATTATGTGTATTATGTGTATTATGTGTATTATGTGTATTATGTGTATTATGTGTATTATGTGTATTATGTGTATTATGTGTATTATGTGTATCATGTGTATCATGTGTATTGAAATCGATAGCGGGTTTATTGTAGTGTATGTACTATCTGTACTATCTCTATTGTATGTATTGCATGTATTGCATGTATTGTATTGTATTGTATGTATATAATTGGTCGAGAATCAAGATCGAGATAGGCTTTACTTGTCTTGTTTACCTACCGAGCCTACTTGTTTGTATGCGTCTTCGTTACTCCACATACTGTGGAGCGTTTGGGCGATTGGATAGGAGGAGAGAGGGTGGATCAATAGATGCCCAGACCAGGTGGGCAGATGAATATAACGTTCGTTAGTGGCGTTGGGATGGGGCGGGTACGAGATGTAGATTGTGGAGCTTTCTTTTGGTTTTTAGATTTTGATGGATGGTGGATGGATGGTGGATGGATGGATGGATGGATGGATGGATGGATGGATGGAGAGTGGTGTGTGTGATGAGAGTATTTTCGGTAAGGGATTTATGTGTGTGTGTATATATGTATATATGTATGATGAATAGATGGATGGATGACTAATCAAATGAGTGATTGAATATCTAATTAATATATCCATAGATATTGATATCGACATGAGGATATCATATTTCCATCTTGCGATTAGATAGATAGATATAGATACCTACAAAAGTTATCTAAATACGACATCCACCCTCGGACTCGCGAAAGTATAGCTACCGGTGCAAGAGAGATGGCTTTCTATCCACATGCACATTCGACATTTCGACTCTGTTCTGTCTAGGGGAGTAGAGTAACCGAGATGGGATTGGTGGATGGCGATATATAATTGGTGGGTGGTGACGGGTTGGTAGATAGCGGGAGGTGCTACTAGGTGTATATATGTATGAGGTATGTATGTGTGCATTGAGTTGGAATTTATCCTTTGGCACTTGCAGTTACTTGCACTGGTGAGTGTAGGTACGAGGACTAAGTACGAGATGAGGACCAGCTAGGTATTTTACTATGAAGTGCTTTTCATTCGTTTCGTTTCGTTTCGTCTCGTTATCTTGGTTTCTTTTTATTTCTTCATCTTCTTCATCTTCTTCATCTTCCTCCTCCTCCTCCTCCTCTTCTTCAACTTCTACACTCTACTGTCGTTTTCACCTCACCTCGATCATCACTGTCGCTTTCGCAGATATATTTCTGGTGCTTTATTATCAGTCATCAACTTGATGATAGACACAATTATATATTCCTCAATCGTTTCGATTGCTATAAATAAATACCGGATTCTTTCTTTCTTTCTTTCCTTCTTCTTTCGTTGAAGTCCCGATAACCTTAAGCCTTGATCTTCAATTTTGGGGAAATTCTCCACCGGGAGCTCTTATCAGTCACCCACGAGCCACTCCACATTCCAGAGCTCCATGCGATAAAAATAAAAATATTCGAGTACGTCATAGCCAATTCCGGACCGCGATAGAATTCTCGGAAACTCCTTTGTCGTTTTCGGAAAATACCTATCGATTTATATTTATAGATATATTCGAATTCAAAACGACACGCTCTTGGCAGATTGCTTTAGGTTGTGTGGTTGTGTCCATCGCCGAATTCGCAATGCGATTTTGAATGTGAGGATTGGGTTACATGAGTGAAATGGATGGTTATTCACTATTTGATGTATGAACAATTTCTTGAGGAAATCTCTGCTGGAAATTTCAATCTTATATGGATTTTATGAGGTATATTGTGTTTAGTTTGGTTTAACCGAATTCAACTTGAGGAGAGATATTTGGAGATTTGGTATCTGCTTCAACAAATCAAGTGAGAGAAATTCCACGCACAATGTCGCCATTACGAAAAGTTTCTCCTCCTGCAAAGGTTGAGATGCGCAATTCTCAACAACCTCTTATGGAAATGGTCCAAGCTGGACGCTCAAATGTGTCGTTAGCAATAAATATCAACGCGGGCCCTTCGAATTCACCTAGTTCTACTACAGATATTGTCAGACCGGATTCACAAAGACTTTCAAATACTCCGCCAATGGAAAGACGTGCATCTAATTTAAGTATGAATCGAAAATCATATTTGCCAGTTATACCATCTCTCTCAATCTTCGACTTCATCAACGACAGTTAATAGTAGTGACGAAACAAAAGTGGTCTAATGGTGGTACGATTTCACCTGCAGGTTCTTCTTCTTCTGGAGATCTACCTCTTCCTACATCCACAGATTCGAGTGGAAATACACCAAGCAATGGAAATACAAATAAGAGAGGAAAGGGTCTGAGTTCTCCGCAACAACTTCTAAGACGAAAATCAGAATTGGCAGGAATAGGTTTGCAGATTGGAGATCCATCACGAACGGGTACACAAAAAGGATTAAAAGATCTAGGCCATGATTACTCCCGCTATCCCAATTCTCGCACACCATCTTCATACGGTTCGGAACTAAATGCTCCTCGTCCACTTTTTATATCTGAAGCGTCTACATCCTCCGACTCCTTATCCTCTTCTATACCTCGAAATCCCTTTCGCGATTCCAGCGCCGCTCTCATCGATAATCCTGAAAAATGGAATTATCCCGACGACCGCGTAGCAGCATTCCATCCCTATTTTGGAGGTGAAAAGGGATTTATACTATATGATGATGAAATTGAAGATGATGATAATCTTCACATGCCGAATGAAAATGATGATCGGGATTTTAAACCTACGTTTCATGAATGGATGGAAAAGAAAAGTTTGATAAATGCCATTGGAGGGGTTTTAATGGTTATTGGATTGCTTTGTGTTTTTATCTTGTTGCCGGTGTTGACTTTTACGACGAGGGTTTGGGGGACCGGAGGAGGTGGTGGTGGGAATTATGTGGATTATGGACCGGCGTGGGCGCATGTTAATAATGTTAGTTTGATCTTTTTTTGTCTTGCGTTTTGTCTTTTCTCTCAATCTGTACCCTTTCTCCTCCCGAATCTTTCATGCTAACTCCCACAACAGAGAACTTATCCCTCCTGCGCAATGTTCGCACAACCCTAATCGATCCCGACACACCCCAAGCTTCGAGAACCAGAAAATCAACATTTAATGGGGAACTCTCCAATCTGGTTTTCTCGGATGAATTTAATAATAATAATCGAACTTTTTATCCTGGGGATGATCCATTTTGGACGGCGCCGAATATTTGGTATGGGGCTACGCAGGACATGGAGTGGTATGGTGAGTTTTTGAGATTTCTTCTTGTTTGGGATGGAGATGAGGATGGTGATTAAGGGAAAAGATGATTTCAGTATTGGATTTTGAGATTTGGCGAAAATTAAGGGGAAGAGAGGAGGCGAGAGAAGAGCCGAGAAACTGAAGGTGGAATTAAGGTTGTGGGGCTCTTGGCATGCATGATGAGCAAGTCAGATTTGGTTTCCATATTTCAGCAATGATGCATGCCGTTCTGGACTTCGTATTTTGACAATATTGTTCACTGCCATATACTAATACTCCTATAGATCCCGTAGCCGTCACAACTGGAGGAGGCACTCTGCAATTACGCATGGATGCTTTTGCAAACCATAACCTCGGATACCAATCCGGTATGCTTAACTCTTGGAACCAACTTTGTTTCAAAGGCGGTATCCTCGAAGTATCCATCTCCCTTCCAGGCCCCTCCGCAGTTCCTGGTCTCTGGCCCGGTGTCTGGTCCATGGGTAATTTGGGTCGTCCAGGCTATAAAGCTACTACCGAAGGCGTGTGGCCTTACACCTACAACTCCTGCGATTACGGTATTACCCCAAACCAAAGTTCTCCCGATGGACTTTCCGAGCTCCCAGGTCAAAAACTCAATTCCTGCACATGCAAAGGCCAAGATCATCCCACCCCCGGAACCGGTCGCGGAGCCCCAGAAATCGACGTCCTAGAAGGAAGCGTCGATCCCAATAATCGCATTGGAGTCGTAACACAATCATTTCAAGTCGCTCCCTTTGACGTCTTTTATCGACCCAATCACGCATTCCCTCCAAATCCCAACTACAACACCACAAATATGAATTCGTATTGCGGCGGTCCTTTCCAACAAGCGATCTCCGGCACCACCCTCCTCAACAACGACTGGTACGACGGCCTCCAATACCAAAAATACGCATTCGAATACACCCCCGGCGTTTCCTCCACGGGCAAAATCGCCTGGTTCGTCGGCGACGAACAAACATTCATGATGGACGGCCGCGCCATTGGCCAAAACGGAAATGTAGCCCAGAGACTCGTAAGCGAGGAACCCATGAGTGTGATTCTCAACCTGGGCATCAGCGGCGCCTGGAGTCAGATTTTGCTCGGCGATCTGAGGTTTCCGACAACCATGCACGTGGATTATGTGAGGATTTATCAGCGCGAGGGGATGGAGAGCGTCACGTGTGATCCGAAAGGTTGGGAGACGACGGAGTATATTGAGAAACATCCGGTGGCGTATCGGAATGCGAATTTGACGGTATGTTTTATTTCGGTGTTTTGTTTTGATCCTCCTCCCCTTTCCCCTTTCCATCCATCCACCTCCCTACCCACCCCCCAAACTACCCACTCACCCCCCTATCCATCCATCCATCCACTCACCCCCCTATCCACCCCCCTACACATCACCACAATAATCTAATCCAAACCAAACCAAACCAAAACCAAAAAACCCCAGCTAACAACCCACTCTCCCACCCCAACAGGCATGGAACCAAACAGGCTACGAATGGCCTACCAATTCATTGATGAATGATTGTTAATTGTTAATTATTAACTATAAATAATATAATTGCTTAAATAATACATATAAATATAATATAACTATAAATATAACTATAATCTGATTGCTTGATAATACATACATGTATAGATATATCCATATAAACTATTCATTCATCTTCTGTCTTCTGTTTTTCGTCTTCTGTCTTGTTTCTTTCTGTTCCTTTTTCTCTCTCATAAATACACATATACTTACATCACCATCATCATCACCATCACCATCACCATCATCATCACTCAAACTCACTACTAAACTCAATTAACTTAACATCATTTCATATCATATCATCCCATTTCGTTCAATGCAAAAGAACACTAGACTATCTAGAGATCTACTTTCCATTCCATTCCATACCATGCCATGCCATGCCATTATATTTCATTTTCCTTCAATCCCCATACAATATCCCCATTCATCGCGTCGCATAGCATTGCAAAACTTTTCTTTCCCATCACTCAAGCTCATCATTCCCTATTCATCATACAACGCATAGTGTAATCGATCAACCAGACATATACGAATGATATCAATCCGCTCCCAGCAGAAAAAAAAGAGCAAATCAAACTAATTAGCTAGCTGAAGCTTAATGCAAGTAAACTCCTTAAATCGCAAGCGAAGTTGTGAAAAAAAAAGAGAAGAAAATAACAAGGCAAAAAACACCAGACCTCCCTAAATCCATCCGAAGAAAAAATATCTGGTAACTAATTATCGGTAAACTGGATAAATTTACCAATCAAAGCGGGTTCCTGATTTCTCTCCCCGATTAGTTGTAGGTACTGGTTTTGGTTTGACTGCTAACTTTCCATTCTTTCCTCTCTTCAAATATCCACTACCATCTAACCATGGTGTCTCCTTTGTCATCTTCTTCTCAAAATTCGAAATCTTATCTTCCATTTGAAGAGTCAATCCAATATCATCCAATCCATTGACTAAACAATGTTTTCTGAATTCTTCCACCTCGAAACTACAGATTTTCTTTCCAGATTCATCATTGATGACTTGATTTGGAAGATCAATTTCAATTTCCTTGCCTGCATATGCTTCTGCTGCAATGGCATTGAGATCGGCTTTGTTGGTAATTGGGATTGGAAGCATACCATTCTTGAAAGTGTTGTTGAAGAAGATATCCGCGAAAGATGGGGCAATGATACATTTGATACCGAAATCAAGAAGAGCCCATGGAGCGTGCTCACGAGAACTTCCACATCCGAAATTTGGTCCAGTGACAACGAGAACCTTAGCCTTTCTGTATGGTTCTTGGTTAAGAACGAATTCCGGCTTCTCCGTTCCATCTTCGTTGAAACGAAGAGCATAGAAAAGAGCAGATCCAAGGCCAGTTCTCTTGATAGTCTTCAAAAATTGTTTAGGAATGATAGCGTCGGTATCGGCATTAGCTCGGTCTAATGGTGCTGCGATTCCCTTGTAGATTTCGAATTTTGGAAGACCAGCAGAGGAGTGTGCAGCGGTGGTGTTTGTGTGTGGGGAGTTATCTTCTGGTTGATCACCAATAACTTCTCGCTCTTCATCATCAGTCTCGACACGTTCATCAACATGTGCCTTGCCTTGATAACTAGTTGGTGATACCTTCTTCGGTGCTGAATCGGCTCCCTGGGCAAATTTTCTCACATCTGTAAGCTTGCCAACAATAGCGGAAGCTGCTGCTGAAGCTGGCGATACCAAATGAGTACGACTTCCAGCTCCTTGACGACCTTCGAAATTTCTGTTACTGGTACTAGCACATCTCTCCTTTGGTGCCAAGATATCAGGGTTCATTCCGAGACACATACTGCAACCAGCTTCTCTCCATTCGAAACCAGCATCCATGAAAATCTTATCCAGACCTTCATCTTCTGCCATACTCTTGACAAGACCGGAACCTGGAACAACCATTGCTCGCTTGATGTTGGCAGCAATCTTTTTTCCCTTGACAATACCAGCTGCAGCTCGGAGATCCTCAATTCTGGCATTTGTACAAGAGCCAATGAAAACCTTGTCCAAAACAATCTCTTCCATTGGAGTTCCGGCAGTAAGTCCCATATATTCCAACATCTTAATAGCATTCTCCTTCTTTCCCTTGTCGGTGTAAGATTCTGGATCTGGAACCGAACCAGTAATTGGAACGACATCTTCAGGACTGGTACCCCAAGTAACTGTCGGAGCAACATCCTTTGCATCGATAAAGACATCGATATCGTACTTGGCGTTTTCGTCTGATTGTAAACTCTTCCAGTATTTTGTAGCTCTCTCCCATTCCTCCGAACCATACTTTGGAGCAAGTGGTCTATCCTTGAGATACTCAAAAGTGGTCTCATCTGGAGCAATCATACCAGCTCTGGCACCACCCTCGATAGACATGTTACAGATCGACATTCTACCTTCCATACTCAAGCTTCGAATAACCGAACCACAAAACTCAATGACGGCACCCGTTCCACCAGCCGTACCAATTCTTCCAATCGCATGTAAGACGACATCCTTTGCTGTGACACCTGGTGCAAGTTCACCATCGATTTGAATTCTCATATTCTTGCTTCGCTTGGTGATCAAAGTCTGTGTCGCAAGTACATGCTCCACTTCGCTCGTACCAATTCCGAAAGCCAAAGATCCAAAGGCACCATGTGTGGAAGTGTGACTGTCACCACAAACGACCGTGGTACCCGGAAGAGTGAAACCTTGTTCAGGACCAATGATGTGCACAATACCTTGACGCTTATCACCGAGACCAAAGTATGTGATTCCAAAATCCTTGACATTATCTTCGAGTGTCATACATTGAAGTCTAGAATCTTCTTCCTCGACGAAAGTTTCGATGTTTTTGAGGGATTTTCGGGAACTGGTTGGAACGTTCTAAAGGGAGCATTAGATTTGCATTTTTGTTGGATTTCATAGACGCAAACTTACATTGATCAGTTGTAGCAAGAGTACAATCTGGTCTTCTAACTTTTCTACCGGCATTTTTTAAACCCTCGAAAGCTTGCTATAAAAAATTGGTTAGGAAATTGACCCCATGATAAAGTACCAAAAAGGAACATACCGGTGAAGTGACTTCATGTACCAAATGTCTATCTATATCAAGAATCAGTATTTGAATGCCCAATTCCTTTCGAAATCCACATACCGATGTAAAGTAAGATGGTGCCATCCATTCTCTCATCTACGATATGGTCTTGGAGAACCTTATCGTAGAGAGTTTGAGGTCTCCCTTCAGCAGTAGGCATATTGGCGACTTGGATTGAAAATAACAAGACAAAGGTATCCTTCTAGTGTCGTATCTCTTTCTTCCCTCTGGTGATTGACTTGGTATTGAATTCCCCCAAAGAACAAATTCTCAAAACTCCTCGGACAGAAACTTTTATGAATGAAACGAAAAGAATTTCAGAAAAGGATTTACAAGAGTAGTAGAAGTAAGTAAGTAAGTAGTCAAGAGAATGATTCAAGTTTCCAGGGAGTGCGGGGTGGATATTATTTATGATGCTCTCCTCTCGAACAAACTCAAAGACCACTGGTACCGATATCGGGGTTGTAGCTCCCAGATGATCTCCGGTCGGTGCAGATCCGGTGGCCAATGAAAGGAAAGGTATTACCCTTTTCTGCCACTTTCTTGTCTTTGTCATGTTCATGCAAGTTGACTCTGGAGCTGGGAATTGGATCCACTTTTATTTGGGAAACCAGCTTTTGTGTTGTGGATCTGCTATGTAATGATGTATTGACCAATTAAATTACATGTATTATTGACTATAAATGATTCGTATTACTCATAAAGGCCCCTCACTGTCGCTCACTCTCGAAGGCGGTGAGGGTTGTTTTTATACTGTACATCCATCGTATACGTAGGTATGGTAATCCAATGACTCAATCAAAGTCGTCGCGAAAGCGGAAGGGTTGAGTCGTCGAGACTCCAGTATCGGAATGTTTGACCTAACCATCGACTCTGTAGATAATACCGTGACCTAGGGATGTTAATGTCAGGTTGGTTGAATGACATAGAATATAAAAGATAGAATACTAGTATATAGGTACAACATGCAATATATTTATATTTCAAATCTCTACTTCCTATCATATATAGTATCAGTCAGTACTTAGTAATCAAGATATTCAAAACTCCATTCTCAACATAGGTACTATCAAAAGATTCATCAAACATCTGAATCTTCATATCAAGCCAATCCAAGCCAAATCTAGCCCTCAGTTAGCCTGCACCCAGTCACCCTCTCCCATCACCCTCTCCCATCTCATCTTCCCACCACCCGTCCCCCACCACCACGGTGAATCCGTTCCCCAATCCCCCTCATCCATCCATCCATCCATCCATCCATCCCATCTACAAACAAGCCAACCCCCGATCCCGAAATAAGATCTCCATTACCTAGTACCTACCGCACCACTACGAGTATACCATCCAGTCTCCAGCCACCTTCCTATTTCCATCCCATTTCATCCAAATCATCCAAATCAATCTATTCCATCCGCTCATCCTATTTCGGTGTGTGCCTAGATATGCACACATACATACCTAGTACATACAGTACCTATCTCGCTTTCCATCGGCCCGAGCCCCCTCCCAAATCTACGAGTCCCTATCCCTATCCCATCCCCATCCCGATCTATCGATCTCTCCCCTACAAAACAACCCCGCAAAATACAAAATACAAAATACAACATACCACACCGCCGCACCAGGCGACCTCGCATATCTATTTTCATATTCTTCAAATCCTCATATCTTCACCGATATCGGAGCTCGGAGCTCTGTTACAGATTTGTTCATTCACTACCACTACTACCATCTACTAGATACTCACCATCTATTCACTCTCGAGTAACCCCATCCCATTCATCCATCCCAATATATCCCGATTTATCCTCATGAGTTGTCCCTTCACCTTCCCCCTTCCGAGGTATCCAAGTAAAAGCTAGTCAAATCAGATCAGATCAGATCAAATCCAGCATCCCAATCCCAATCTCAATCTCAATCCTCCCAGCCCAAGTATCCCAAGTCTAGTATCCCCATTTCCAATTCCCAATTCCATCTTCCATCTTCGAATTCCCCATTCTCATCCCCCATCACCCATCTCGCGACCGCCATTCCCTCCCCTCCCCTCCCCTCCCCAATCTCACCAATCTCACCACCCACCCAAACACCAGTATCACAACCTCCACCATCATTTCACCATATCCTCACCCTCTATCATCATCATCCTCACCCCATCCACAATATCCCGCTAACCTTACCACGCACACGTACGGTATACAGAGGTTGATGGGATAAGTCGTGTAAGCCCCACTTTTAATAAAAGTTGCTGTTTTACGAAATTCCAATGCTGCTTTTACTAATTTTACTACATATTCAGCCATCCCCCCCAAAATTTCGAATTTTGAATCCTTTTATTCAAATTTTCAACTCTTATAATTTTAAAGCTTTTGAAGCTTTCAAAGCTTTCTATAGGTTCTAAATAGGCTTAGAATAGCATTTCTAAAAAAAAACCAAACAATCTGAATTTCGATAAATTTGAGTGATTTTGCTAGGGGTAGAATAAAATTTACAATACTTTCACCACCTAGAGTTCACCATATAAATTTTCAATCGCGTGATGATATGATTGGTCCAAACGATAAAAAAGGGGAAAAGCTTGGTCGCTTTTGGGTGTGTTTTACAATACTTACGCCGTCAACCTCTATATATCACAACCTTCTCATCACGTTCATTCATCATTCATTCATTCGTTCATCCATTTACTCCCTCTAACCCTTAGTTAACCAAACAAATTTAAAATAAAATAAAATTCCCCCCTCCCTTCCAATTTCGATTTCAGGTCCAAAACCTACCTATTGCAATCTTACAATGACTACCTGGTAGCTCGCTAACTACAGTATTCATTTATTTTACCGAGTTACTCACCTTTAACATCTAATACCTAGGTAACTAAAACACTTGAATACTTAAATTACTTCCATGAATGTATTACATCGCTTTACTTTTCTTTCCCCAACTCCCAAAATCTAGCAAATTTCATATCCGCAGATACTGTCGATAGCAAAATGTGCTGTGTAAACCCCAAAAGATCTTTTCTCCCTCCTTTCCCCAACACCATGCTATAGAAACCCCACAAAAACCTATATAAAATAATCATCCCCGATATCTTCATCCCACCAACTCACCATCTCACCATCATACCATCTACTCCAACCCCCTCTTCATCCTCACATACCCACCCCAATCTATCTTCCTTTCTCCCTCCAAATCCTCCTTCCATCCCTCCCCCTCCCCATCCCACAAACCCAATCCACAAAGATGTCTCATAGTAGGTCTCCCATGTGGACAATTCCACGGCTGTTCAATCTCTCCCATATGCCTCACCACCTTTTCCATTTGTCCCTTTGTCAATGATTTCCCAATCATAATACTACTCCTACAAGCCCTCATCGCGAACATTTTTCTAACTTTACTCGGCCTTACCATTCCGGCTCTACCACCACTTTCCGCCAGTAGCGCAATCAATTCCTCAAGATCATTGATCGAGAAAGTGGTTTCTCGAGAAACAGGAAGAGAGACAAGTTGACATCTTCCCCCTACGTCTTGGGACGATTGATCGATGGTCAAAATGAATCCATTTTGTTCCAAAATATCGAGGTTTTCAGCTACAATTTCTTCCTCGAGTGCTGTGAGAGAAAGTGTTTTGGGGTAAACCAATCTTTGCGATTGTACTATTGTAGTAGCTTGCAATCGTTCAAAATTGTACTTTTCGTCTGATGAATGTTGATCGATAATGAAAACATTATCTGCTGTTTGTATTCCACCATTTTCAGTCGTCGGCTCAGGAGCTTTCGATGCGAGAATAAAGCCGAGATTGAATTGACCAATAATTTTCATCTTAGCGAAATCACTCTTGGAGATTGTGAGGGAGAGCCGCTCTTCGGCACCGTCAGAATCGAGAGCTTCGTCTTGAGAAGTAGAAGCAGTTTGGTTTGCGTACAAAGAGAGTGCATCTTGCAAAGATTCAAACTTCTGATTTATATCAAGAACAGTAGTGTCAACAGTCTGTGTCAAGTTCAACGTGGATTCCTTCCTCTTCGCGCCACCTTTGACAAGTAATTTTGCACGAGAAATATTTTCTTGAGATGGTAGCGCAGCCGTTCTTTCAACCTCCTTAATCATCTCTTGGACTTTCGCTTCTTCGCGAACCTTTTTCTCCTTCTCATCCAAGTACTCTCCATCTTCCTCCTCTCCATCTGCATTGTCTTCTGGAGGAGCTTCTGATAACACAGAAGCATCCTCATCTGCCGGAGAAGCTGTTGGTAAATCTTCATCGACATCTGCATCAGAAGCGCTTGAGGAATCAGGTGCAGCTGTTTCTAACGTAGATTCTGGCTCTTCTATATCGATCATATCCGTATCATCGCTAGCTTCTGAGGTTTGAGTTCCAGGTGCACCGAATCGTTGCAGAAGCCGTTTCCCAAAAGATGGCATAGGTAAGTTCTGCTGAAGTTTCCCACTTTCACGCAGGGAAGCAGAATTACTGTCAACTTTCAATCTTTTAGGGGGAGGTGTTCCAATAGAGCTCGTCACAGTATGATCACCTATTGTTATTGTAGCCGTCTCTTGTTGAGAACGTTGTGGTCTGCTACTTCCAAGCGAGCTCAGTATTCCCGGAGTAGACATCGGGGATGGTGATATAAGTTGAGGAATGGGCGGATCTTCAGCGCCTTCTAACGCTTTTGACCCTTCTCTCGAGACGCTAGCCTCAGCCATCCGGTTATTAAAATCAGCAACGTGTCGAGGGGGTCTATAAGTGGGCGCAGGCTGAGAGTCTTGAGCAGTCGCAATCGAGCTTTCAGGGCTCACAAGATCATCTTCAGCCTCCTCAACCCGAGCAGCTTCCCTGCCAAACTTGGATATCAATCTTTGCTTTTCCTTCGACGGACCTTGGTCAACATCTTGCATAGCCTTCGAGGTGCAGGTGTTGATCACTCCGTTCCTCAGACTTACGACCGACCCAATTCGAAATCAAACTTATAGCTGCGCCATCTCGCGACAATGAGTTTCGTGATATAGAAGAACGTTTTGCTTTTGAATTAGACTGCACTTGAGAATCCTGACTAGCTGTGCTTTGAGCGTTACTAGATCGTCTAGAGTCCGAGATTGCGCCCGAAGCTTGCTCTCCCTCTCCCTCTTCCTCCTCCTCTTCTTCCGCGTCACCCTCCTCGGCAGATTGCGGGGATGCTTGCGGACGCTTTTGCAAATTTTTCGATGCACTAGCAGCCTCTCGATTAATAGTCAACTGTTTATATTGTGGTTGCTTCTGTGCTGACAACTGAGACACTGTTATTGTATGGTCCTGGCCTTCAAAAAGTCCAGCAAGAGCCGTCTTGAGGTTCTCCAACATACGACTCTGATCATGTAGTAAAATAGTACGTTTGTCAGGGCTAACATTGACATCATACAAATGAGTGTCTAACTCGATATTAGCAAATATGAATGGTGACTGAGTGCTTCCCCATCCATTATATGATTTATAGACCTCGTTAAAAGCCTTTGCCACTTGAGGAAGTCCACACGGTCTTGAATTTACGAAAAACATTTGCCTGTCAGGAGTTTGACGTCCTTCTCCCGTAGCTGGACGCGAAATATGACCAATAATTCGGATGTCTTTGGAGTCATCATCAATTTGTGTACTCCGTTTCTGACTGGGGCCACTCGTAGGCTCTAACTCCAGACGTAAATCCATTGGTATCAATTGGGTAAGAGTCTTCGCACCAAAAACGTTAACAATGTTCTCTCTAGTGGTAGGATTTCCTTTTGTAGAAAAAATTGTTGTCTTTTTGCCCTTGGCTGCCTGTTGCGAGACAGTAAATTTGATACCCGTTTGTATACAAGCATATTGTCCCAGAACACCTGTAACCTTACTCCATTCTCGTTTTATATTCTTCTCAAGCTCTCGTCTTCTCACTGGCAGATTGTTGAATAGGTTCTCTACTATCACCGTAGTTCCTTTTTGCGCCGCCACAACAGATGTGCCTTTTAACTTCCCTGAGATCTCGAATTCGAGCTTCGTACCTTTCGGGGCACTTTCTGGCATGCATGTAATGACAGAAAAATTTGAGAGCGCACATAGTGAAGATAAGGCTTCGCCGCGGAATCCAAATGTTTGAAGGGTCGTAAGGTCGTTGTATGTGGTCAATTTCGAGGTATAATGTTTGAGTGCTAGGGTATCATAATTGTGCGGAGAAATGCCACCACCATTGTCTTGTACCTCGATTGCTTCGAGTCCTTGATTTTTAAATCGCACATCTATTGAATCTTTAGTAAGCTAGATCTCAAGAGTATAGGTATGTAAACGTTCTTACCAATACTCGTTGCTCCAGCATCCAGACTATTCTCCACCAGTTCTTTCACCACCGAACATAAATCGACAATTACTTGGCCAGACTGGATCTGATGGATCTGTAGATTTGTAAATCATTAGTAAGTACTATATAGTGAGCTGAAGTCCTAGAGATATTCTCACCGTCCGGCCTTCAATAGGTTTTATAGTAGCCATGTCATTTTCCTTTCGTTGTTGAACGCGGTTGATGTTGGGAAGACGCGCCTGAAGATCCACGACTTTAAAGTGGTTCGTTTTCGCGTCATAGAATGTCACTTCGACTTCAATGTGATGAATGGTAATACAAATTTTATTAGCTATTTTATTATTTGAACGGATCTCGAAGTGAAATACTACATGTTCGAAAAGAAGGAGCACTGGTCGATTGAACCTTTCAGATGGGAAACCAGATACAGCGTCTACAATTGCTAACACCGGTCTGTACTCTCTCTCTTCCTTGAACCTAAATTTCGCGGGGTCAGATCACCGGAGCACACCAGAGCAAAGTACTATGGACTATGGAATCTCCTACAGCTCTTCTCTTTCTTTCCAAAGCATAAATATCGACTTGAGCCAATTCCCACAAACACAGTTTTAGTAAGTCAGTATGTCTACTCGAGGTCTACTACACTTTTCAAGCTCGTCGATAAATTCAAGCTAGATTCCAGCTTGGCCAATAAAGGTTGATGCTATTTTCTTGCATTAGGTTATACACATCACAATCGTTAGCTAATAATTTCGTGGGAAACCTTCACCGCTTTCGTCGATCAGGAGGCCCATTCATCGATATCGGGAGAAAAGGAGATAATAGATAGAGAGATAGCATAGCATGATAAGATAGTGATAGATAGGCTCGAGAGAGAGAGAGATAAGAGATTTTTTTTCATCATTTTCGCAGCATCATGTCATAAGAAAGGTAGAAATGGAGTCTTCAGAACCATGAACTTTTATTTTGCTCCCGAAACGGAATCATCTCATCAGTAAAGGCTAAACTATATCACAACGCTGCCATCCGCTTGCTATTGAAATATTGGACCGGCTTTCGTTGCAAAAAGGGAAGCGATAGTGCATGAACATGCATGGACAGCACGAGCTTTGATTTTTGCGTCGTGCATGAGCAGAAGGGGGAGGAAAACCTGGCGAGAAAGAATCCAACTTCATATCTACTCTTAACTCTCCATTGAAACTTATAGCTTAGAGTTCCTCCTTTCCTCAACAGCGTTGCCAATCGTGAAGTGTACGACAGACTTCATGCTGTTGCATGTCCAAGTCTAAAACGGGTGTCGTAAATTGCAATAGTTAAAAGATGTCGAAAGCGAAAGGTGGGTGGCTTATTATTTTGACATTAAAGTGGTGACGCGACCATCCATGCGTCTACCCGAATAATTTTTTTGGTGATGTGATAAGGATCATAAACATGACATGGGAAAGAAATGCAAGAAAGGAAGCGCATATTTTTGTAGTAGTACAATCCATCAATATGGGTGGATACTGGAGTACCAGTAGCAGTTTGATGTGAAGAGAATGCAAACAAATTTCCATTGGGATCAATGTGCTGCACTAGAGTAGAGGAAAGGGTTCGTTATGTGGTATCATCCATTGACAAGAAGCAAAAAAAAACGCCACACGCCAATCTTGATATTTTCATGAATCGCATAAGATCAATGAGAGGTGGTGGTGATTTTGCTGAACTATGAAGTGACTGATTGTGGAGTTGACGACTCACTGTCCCCAACCATATCTGCAACGCGCATTTTCTTAGCGCGAGGTGCCCCGTCACGCAATTCGTTGAGTTCACGTTCAACATCATCCAGGCGACGCTTCAATTGATTTTCTCGACGTTGAGATTCCTCGAGTCGATTCATTAAATTATGCTCTGATTCTCTAAGCATCGCCACTCCTTGATTCGCATTGGCTTCATCCTGTTCAAGTTGGGTAACTCGACCACGAAAGAGTTCGTTTATAACCTCCAGCTCGTTGACGCGGGTTTTCAAAGAAGAATTCTGGGCGATAAGCTGTTCGTATGTCTGAGGCACTTCAAGACCATGCGGACCATTCATAGAAGGGGACGTGGACCGTATATCGCCGGGAGAAGGTTGTCGGATGTGCATAGGCGGAAGAGACGGGGAATGATTGTAATGATGTTCTTCCAAGCCATTTCCGTTGAATGGTGGTAAATGATTACCATACATCGAAGGAGTCGCAGTTCTAGAGATAGGAGAGTTCGATCCATCTGAATGACCATTGGCAGACTTTCCTGATGCTCTTCTATGTCCAAGTGAACCTGGCGGTGGTGTGCCAGCTTGCGATCGCGCTTGGTCAAGACCATTAGCTTCGTATAGAGTCTGCGACAGAACGCGTTAGTCATGGTGCCACTTCTGCAAAAACAATTATGATAGAATAAATAAACACCTTTTTCTTTGCACCTTGAGCAGTGCCTGAACTCTTAACGCGATTTCGACTCTTGATAACATCTGTCTTGAGGCTTATCGGCCGAGGTCGCCCGTGCAATTTCAGGAAGAGACCACAAGCATTGCATAATACCGAACCTATTTCATCTCTTCGCCATAAAGGAGTCGTGGAAGTCTGACAATTCTGACAGGTAGGCTGTTGGGTTTCGCGATCATTGTTAGCCATTGTAGCCATGATTGTGGTATAGATAGTATGATAATTTGCAAAATCGCTATCGTTATCGGAGATTGGGAAGGAACGAAAATTCTCGCAGATTGCTCTTGCTGATATCGCTTGAGGTAGGAAGTAGTGGGATGGGCAGGCACGGACGGAAAATCCCGAGTACGGTTGATCATAAAAGACTAAATGACAAGGGATGATGGACCCTTGAAGAAAAGGTGACCGTATAATACTTATCGGCACATCAATCCCTAAGGATTGGTAGGATAGGAGGGACAGGACGAAGAATATGGATTAGGAAAGGAAGAAAATGGAAAAGGTAAATAAACCTGTTACATGGAGATCAGATCATCAGACTCAGAGAGAGACATTGTAGAATGTTCCCGGCGATTTTCTGAACAATGACCATATAAAGAATAGAACGGGAGTTTGATACAAGTAGACGACGTATAGCGGCATAAAGTGGTAGGTGAAAAAAGAGAATATACAACATACTGGTGAATTGTTTTGCCCTCCTCCGGATGTAGCAGATGGTGATGATGTCGCATACCCCATATTTACATTTTGTCCAACATTGAATGCTCTATAGTGTGCTAAATTAGCTTTTGAACCATGCTTTAGTATGCTGTGCATCATAGAATTCAATCATATGAAACTATAATTCCCTTATCCATGAAAGCTTCAAGGAATCCCAATGTTGATTCAAATATCTTCGAGGATGGATTGTCTTTGTTCATTCATAAGAAACAAGAAGCATTGAACTCAAAACTTTCATCTCCAATTGGATTGAAACCCTTCCATCATCCGAGACAATAGTAACATCGATTTGTATTTTCCTCCGCAATTTAAACGTACCTCAATTGTGGTGAACTTGTACCCGAAGCTAATGAAGCCAGTGCTGATAGCCCAGGTAGTTGCGGCAGTGATGCGCTATGGTGTAGAGAGGAGTTCACTGTCGAGGTCGAAGATGGTCGAGAAATTGGATCCATGGGTGGCATGATTGGCAATGATTGCCTCCCATCACTTATTGAGGGTGACATTCGGAACGGAGGCAGATCTCGACTTGAGTCTCCTGACGAAGGCCGCAGATGGATATCGAGGGGCGATGCCCGATAAATGGGAGCGAGTGTAGAAGCCGTGGTTGCGGTTTGGGGGGGTTGTTATTAAAATCACGTCCGAAATAGAACGCGAGGTATGTGGTTGTATTAAGGTTGAAATCGACTGTTCCTTAACTTTTATATATCTTCAAATGTCTATATCGAAAATAGCAGAGATCGTTCGAATTATAACTAGAAGGAGGGCGACTACGCTGACACTAGTAGCTAGAATGAAATTATTCTTCGAGAATTGCAGGTAAGTGAATGAAGCACGAGACTTTTCGGTTGACCCAAACGAATGACAATGATATTCAAACTTTTAAAAGGGATCGATTTGAATTTTGGGTATATGAGAACGATGAATGAAGAGACAGTAAATGATGTTACAATACAATGTATCAAATCAGAGTTGCAAAGGTAGAGAGAGAAGTTATTGAGGGAAAAGGAATGGCAGCTGGATCCTGGCCGCCCCTTATCCATTCGCGCTACCCTGCAATCGAAACAATCTATAAAAAGGATACTCCCGGACGCAAGGTACCTGATAATGACAATATGACAAGCTCCAAAAATGTACAATTTTTACTACGAGGAATGAGTTATCTACCTACTCATCATTACTTTTGAAATCAAAGAATGTATTTGAAATTGGAGTACAATACGTAGGAGTTTCACATTGTTATGATTGAATTGAACCACTTCATCTCCTCGGAATCTCCTCTACTCTGTGCAAATCTCTAGGTACAGCATTGAGCACATCAATCGATGCATGCAAGATCGGAACATCCATCTCACTAAAGCTGCTGCTAAGAAGCTATGGTAATATGAAGTTTCAAGATTCAGATAGATGGACGGATAAAAAGCAATCTTCTAGAAGCAGTACGACAGAACGAGAATGAATGGAAGCAATCATCACTCAAAGTAAGCTTATCATCTAGATTGAGTGTAACCTCTCTTGAATCCTCTCATGCGATCAATGCAAGCCCTAATTATCATAATCTATACACAACAGTTGGTATCGTATGCTAGGTCTGATTCGCCTGATTCGATCAAGCTATACGATATGATATATAATGATATGTATCCGGGTGGAGGTTATGAGGAGATGATCCACGACTATGGCGCTAAGGCGGCACAAGGGTTTGAAAGTTCCTGACGAACTGAGATAATTGAGTGGATCAGCTCAATCGGCACTCGATAAACAATCGAGACAATCTCAACAGTGTACAAGGAAATTAACAAGGCTGACCATTAAGAATCCTTGAAAACGAGCCATCGAGAACAACTTTAGTTTACCCCTGAGATCGAAATTTAAGATTACGGTCACTTCTGTAGGTTAGAAGGAAGCTCAAGGAAGGAAAGGATAAAAATAAAATGTGTCACGAGCCAGTTGGAAACAATAGATTAGTCCTTTCCTGTCCCGATCATGTGTGCGTATAAATAAAGACGTACGGAGTAATGTGCATGGTGGACCTATTCTGAGATGCTCAGGTGTATATATCCATTTACCCCAATAAGCTGATCAGCGTAAATCGAGCAATGATATGCATAAATGATATAAGCTGGCATGGACGGCATGAACGGCATAAACGGCATTAACGGGTAGGTACCATTGAGATCCTACATAACATGAGGGTCTTCAGCTGGTAAAAAGAGGGCCGAGTTGTACTGAGTACAGGTACGGAGTAAAAACGTTTATGGATGACGAATTCGTGGAACACGATTTGATAACTTTAATCCTAATCGCCTCAATTACCAGCAATCTGTAAATCTGTCAATCTTGTCAATCAATCCTCCGCTTGAATATTCAGGGGTAAACGAATATTCCGATTCAGCCGACCCAGGATTGGACCTCGTGATCCATATCACGTGATTAATACACTAATGGCACTCTTTGATGACCGTAGCCACGAGCTTACAAGCTACTACGGAAACCTAGATCAAATGCAAAGTCTCAAAAATATTCTACTCGTAATTCTGCCATAACTTTTTTTTGAGTAGGAATTTTAATTTTGAAAGCTTCACCAGTCAAACACCCCTCACCATCAGCATTCACAATGCCTTCGGTATACAATAAGGAAAAGCCTTGGGATACAGATGATATTGATAAGTGGAAGGTAAATTCTCCAAGACTTCTAAAGTTTTTCAATTCCACAAGTTCGGCGCAATACTAATTAATACCTCCTAGATTGAAGCATTCACACCTGCCGACAATGCAGGCGGTACCTTCACAGAAGAGTCCTCCTTCGCCACACTCTTCCCCAAATATCGCGAAGTATATCTTAAGACAGTCTGGCCACTTATAATGAAATCACTCGAGAAATATGGTATTGCTGCGACACTTGATTTGCGCGAAGGTTCTATGACGGTCAAGACCACCCGAAAGACATACGATCCAGCCGCTATTCTCAACGCACGAGATCTTATTAAGCTACTTGCACGAAGTGTGCCTGCGCCACAAGCGATCAAGATTCTTGAAGATGGTGTAGCATGCGATGTTATCAAGATCCGTAACCTGGTTCGAAATAAGGAACGATTCGTGAAGAGAAGACAGAGAATCTTAGGTCCAAATGGAAGCACCTTGAAAGCGTTGGAACTCCTTACAGAATGCTATCTACTAGTTCAAGGAAATACCGTATCAGCAATGGGTCCTTACAAAGGCCTAAAAGAGATTCGACGAATCATCGAAGATTGCATGGCCAACATTCATCCTATTTATCACATCAAGGAACTAATGATCAAGCGAGAGTTGGCAAAGGACCCAGAATTAGCGGGCGAGAGTTGGGATAGATTTCTGCCACAATTCAAGAAGAGGAATTTGAACAAGAGAAGAGTGCCTAGAAACGTTACCGACAAGAGCAAGAAGGTTTACACCCCATTCCCACCAGCACAAGAGAAGAGCAAGGTTGATCTACAAATTGAGAGTGGAGAGTACTTCTTGGGCAAGCAAGCAAAGGAGAGGAAAGCTCAAGAGGAAAGAATAGAGAAGCAGAGAGAGGAGAAAGAGGAGAAGATGAAGAAGAGGGCCGAAGAATTCGAGGCACCAGCCGAAGATGGAGAGAAGAAAGAGAAGAAGAGAAAGAGAGATAAGGATAGTGGGGAGAAGAAGGAAAAGAAGAAATCGAAAAAGAAGAAGAGCAGTGATGCTGATGGGGATATCGATATGGCCGAAGACTAAAACTAATTTATCATGTGTATCAAGGATGGTATATCGAGGCGCAATCGGGCGTTCGTGGGAAAAAGATACCTAATACAGTTTTGTATGTGGTAGATAGTATGATCTATCTAAATTTTGTAGACTCGTACCAATTCAAGTATTTTCTACAAGCTCATTTCTGTGGGAATTCCCTTTGCAACTGCAAACCTCGTCCCCGATGGCCGGACGGACAATGGAGAAACTTGACATAGGAATTCCGCATGCAATATAGAAATATGGACGTGTACAAGCCGATTGGCAAAATAGGAAGATGGATCCGCTGACAAAGATCACACTTCTCCAAGTTCAGCAGATCCCCCGAAGACTTACTAAACAACCTTAATACTTTAATACTTTATAACCATCACGCAACCTTTCAATTCATATCTCCAAGCACACATGTAAGGATAATTGGTTATCTTTTATCTACGTCCCTGTAGATTCATCTCTGACCTGCATATATGCGGAGAAGACGGTAGTTGCTAGTCCTCTTTTTTATTCCGACCATACAATGAGCAGCGATACTCTTCATGTTACGAATTTATTTATGATATCCAGTGATAATCGGGAATTCGCATCAAGTCGGGAAGGTGGTTGAATGGTGGCTATCGTGCATGTTTCTAGAATAAGAAACTTGTGGTCTGGCGAGTGCTTGGCATTCCACTCACGAGCATTGCTCTATACCAACTCTTGGAATCCTTGTACATATTTGAAGAAGAACAAAAATCTTGGCGGACAACGGCCGTCCCCGATTTATGCTATCAGTAGTTTGGTATATGCGCGTCGAGATCGTTCCGTATCTTTGATGTGTTATTCGTGGGTGGTGTTGAAGATCTCTGAGGGTGGGTGGAAATTGGGTGGAATGGGAAGGCAAAATAAGTGGTACCTGCCTCTTTCATAACCACCATCACGGAGGGGAAAAACGATGTGGATAGCTTCACATGTAGGACGTCACAACCCACATTGATGCCACTCTTAGTATGTGGACGATATAATCCATTGTCTGAAGTATAAAGAGTTATGTATTTCCATCCAAGCTTTTGATCAACCAGCAATCTTTTCCAACAGCAGATCAATCCCCACGGCTTTTTTCTCCATCTTTCTTGGCGTTCCAACTTCATCATGAAGGTTCAAACTAGTGCAGCTCTTCTCATTTCCTCTTGGGTCCCAGCTACCTACGCTTGGGGTACCTTGGGGCATTACACTGTTGGATACGTTGCCACTAACTTCGGTGAGTAATGATCTTTACCATGATATCAGACGTATCTCTAATATCACGCTTCCGCAGTCTCTACCGCCACAAAGACCTATTTCCAAGACATTTTGGGTGATACCAGCACAGATTATTTGGCCTCTGTTGCTACCTGGGTTAGTCTTCCGATATAGATATGAAAGTGAACATGCATTTTTCTAAACCCTCTACAGGCTGATTCATACCGATATACCACTGCTGGAACTTTCTCGGCACCTTTCCATTACATTGATGCTCAAGATAACCCACCTACTTGTGAGTAAAGAGATTTTCATAACGAGTTCCTCAAGTTTATTGATAAGGGGAAACTTTTCTGCTCAACTCAGTTACCTTATCGAGTAAAACGATGCTGATGCAATACTTTTTCAGCTTGTGGCGTTTCATACTCCAGAGATTGTGGATCTGCAGGATGTGTCATTAGTGCCATCAACAACTACGTGAGTCTGTCGTAGATCAATGTCATTTACAAGTGATGCTAATCCACAATAGACAACCATCTTACAAAAGGGCACTGCAAGTGCTGCCAATTTGGATATTGCTGCCAAGGTAAGCACCGATCCTTCTTTCAGAAACCATTACTAATATTCCCTAGATGATCATTCACGTATGTTCTGATTTCCTCTCCCAATTCTGGATTCTATCATGTCTCCATTCTCCCTATTCTACATGTCATTTCCAAGGCACATGGACATCTCGCACAAAAAAGATGCTCCGTACCATTTTTGTCCCCACGTGGGCGAAACGTCAATATATCCATAACCACCCCTTGCTCATACATCCTAGTTCCTCGGCGACATCCACCAACCTCTCCACGATGAAAACCTCGATGTAGGTGGAAACACCATCTCCGTCACCTACGCCGGCAAAAAAACCAACCTCCATTCAATTTGGGACACTGCTATTCCCGAACAATACACTGGCGGTTACGCACTTTCTGATGCCAAGACATGGGCAGCAACTCTTACCACCGCCATTAAAACCGGAACATATTCTTCCTTGAAAGCAGGCTGGACTAAAGATATCGATATCGATGACCCAGTTACTTCCTCAATGGTTTGGGCGTCTGATACAAATGCCTATGTTTGCAGTACTGTTTTGGTAGATGGAGTTTCCGCGGTCGAGTCAGGTGATTTGAGCACCAATGGATATTACACAGCCGCGATCCCAGTCGTTAAGTTGCAGATTGCCAAGGCAGGATACAGGTTAGTAGCAGTTCCTCACTTTCTTTATTTCTATCGAGGAATTGGTATTTAGAGAGTATGATAGCTAATTGTTGATGAAAACAGACTTGCAGCTTGGTTGGACTTGATTGCTACTGGTACTACTAACCTCTAAATGAAATGAGAGTTGGAAATAGGGGAAAATAATGAGGGGAAAAGGTGGTGGAGGAAGTGTATATAAGAGCTCGTTTCAAAATGTCAATATTCATCCCTAGGCAACTTTTAAATGCACAATACATACACTTTTAACAAATAAATCTCAGTACTTCTGATAGGACAATAACACAAGATCATTCAAGGTGGAATTACAATTCAGAGTGTTTAAGGGATCTAGTCAATACAACGAATCATGAGCCAAATAGTATACTCTTGTACCAATCTTGCTAGCGAGGTTCTGTAAATATTGCCTAGTTACATGTTCGCCCATGTCTATTTAAATGAACATACAACGCTCACCTTAGCGAGAATGAATGAGAAGCCGTTATTACCTATGCATAGCAACATTTTGCATTTATATACGAGAGCACAAAAAATCATGTCATGAAGTCACCTCAACTAATCTCTCATCCGGTGTATACACAATATAGGATCCTGATATGAAATTAGTCTATTCTCAAAAGGACTCTATTGTAAAACATGAGATAATCGTAGAACCACGCTTATATATAAACACACAAACACATACATACATACACATTGTTTGAATTCAAGCTAAAAAGATATCAAACCAACCTCATCCATATACCCACCCTACTTCAGAAAATTTCCCAAATTACATATATATTCCCTCAAGCACGAATCAGGAAATTCGTCTCCCTATCTAATTCGATCAGATGGTATATCAACGGCTCAACTTCAACTCGAAGTACACTAATACTCGTTCTGTAGATAGATAGTCAATTAATGTGATTTTATTCATACTATCATATAGCATAGTGATAATCATATCCTCTACAGTTCTAGCTTAGCTACTTTCTTGTGGATAAACTATTGAAAAATGGACGTATAGGTGAGATGGATCGAGATATTTGGGGTTTATTTTTGGTGATGCCATTGAGATGGAATGAACGGATTAAATTGGAAAGTTCGTCCATTCCCGCAGATTGCGTAGTGTATGGATTGAATAATCATTGTATAATAGGTAGTTATGATAAGAATCTGCAACGTCGAGATTTTCATCACCCATATAGAAGGGAGTGGAGGAGATAGGTACGACATTATCACAATGAGAAATCAATGAAACGAAGTAGGTATAAACGTCGGAACAATATCTCCATTCATCCCTTTACTACATAACCAAACCATCTTCTCCAGTCTCATTCCATGTCTTCCACTCCACCACCAAATTCCGCACCAAATCAGCATGCCGTTTCTTCTTCCTTCCAATCTTCTCTCATCTACGAATTCCAATTCCAATCCATATATCACCAGCGTCAATCCCTCTACCATCCAATCATCACCATATCTCAACATTAGATATAAATATTATATGAATAATAATTCCCAAGTCCAGCCACCCGCCCACCAAGTAAAGCTCGCCAAGCCCACTCGCTTTTCCAACCCCCTAGTCCAATCTTCACTAGAAAGAGATAGGACAGAAACTGTTCCTGTAAAAAGTTCGTTCCAAAAAAGACTAAAGTCCGCGCCAAAAGAATCGTGTATGAACATCAATCACATATACGCATCATAAAAATTTAAAAAAAGGTAATCAAGTAAAAACACTTGAATCCATCACTCCGTCTCCCTCCAATCCGTGATACGAATAAGCATAAAATAGGGGTATAAATACGACAGAAAAAAATGGCAAGGAAACTGGTTCCGATAGACTTCAAAGATGTCATGTCTAGGATATGGAGTATTCGGGAACTCCTGCACCATAGGTGATATATTCGGTTTGAAGAAATAATTCGAAGCAAAAGGGAATGTTGCGTTGAGCAAAAATAATATAAGAATGTATGTGTTGGACAGAAAAAGAAGTCATGATAAAGGCGAAGCCGAAGAAAGCATTACGTGGTCCAGACGTATTAGAAGATAGTATTTGAAAAGATATCCAGGAGATGGGAAATTATATGATGATAATGAGGATATAGTATCATCAAATGACAGCGATCAGATTAAGCAGCCGATGGCAAGGAGGAGGACGAGGCCAAATATCGAATTTGATAATTCAGTTGATGTAGCTACCGATTTCTTGGTACTTGACGCTGTTGCAGAAGCGGTTTCGGCGGCACTTGCGATTGGACTCATTGCTCCAGTGCTAGTGCCAGTGCTGGAAACAGTTTGGGCAAGGGAGACACTCGATGCGCCAAAAGTAGAATTTCCAGCTTGAAGAAACACGTGAGCTTCGTCGGTTGGATAGGCGGAAGCAACAATAGAGGTCGTTGTGTGGCTGAAAAGTGAGGAAGTTGGGCTCGCTTTGGTAGAAATCGACAAGGATAAGATTGCGGAAGATGAAGACGAAGAGGAGGAGGATGAGGATGAAGATGAGGAGGAGGAGGAGGAAGAGGAGGAGGAAGAGGAGGAAGAGGAGGAGGAAGAGGAAGAGAGGAGGAAGAGGAGGAGGGGAGGAAGAGAGGAGGAAGAGAGGAGGAAGAGGAGGAGGAGGAGGAGAGGAGGAGGAGGAGGAGGAGAGGAGGAGGAGAGAAGACGAGAAGAGAAGATGTAGATGAGGATGTAGATGTAGACGAGATAGAACTGCTAGTTGATGGAGGTGGAGTTGACGAAGTAGTTGGAGTAGAAGATGATGAGCTGGGAGTTGGAGTTGGGGTTGGTGAAGGAGTTGGCGAAGCACTACTTGAAGCAGCTTTAGATGATGAGGAAGCCGAAGATCCAGAACCGCCGAGCTCAAACACCACAACCTCGGCAGTTAGACCTGAAGGGACAGTGACAACACAAAAGTTGGCACCTCCAGCCCCTGCAGCTTGATCGGCGCTGGTAACTCCTCCGATTCCATCAACTGATGGATCAATTGAACAAGGAAGCCCATTACATCCAGACCCAGAACATTCAATTTTGATACCAAAAGTAGGCATGGTATCTGAAAGGGAGGAGGATGTCCAAATTGGATTCCAACCAATTTTAAGGTAGGTATCACCGTTAGCGACAGTGTTAGCTCCGGCAACATATGGAGCCCAATTTCCAATAGGTTTTGAGCCATCACCCCAAATACAAGCATCAGCAGTCGAGACTCCTGGAGCATTGATATAGTAGCTATAGACTGTTAGGACAACAAAATCACAGTATGATATTCAATACTTACTGGGCTGCGGTTTCACACCAGTAGCTTGTACCTGGAACCGCCAATTGAGAGGATCCATCCACTGATGTTGGAATTAACATAGCCTCATTTCCAGGTAGAACCGTTTGACAGAATGAAACGCTTCCACCACAGCTGTTTACAACTCCAACTGTACCAGTCCCCGACACACAATAAGGTTGGTTGGAGAATGGTTTGCTGACTTTGCCGTTTGAGTCGCAGTATAATCCTCCATCCTGCGAAACGATTAGTATTTTATTTAGGCTCAAAATAATCCCAACATACCATAGATAATGGATAAGTGTATGAAGTGGCTTTTGGATTCCATTGCGCCATCACTTGACCAGGAGGACAAGCATATGGACAATATGAGCCTGGAGTACAAGCTTGATCTGGACTCATTGCCCATCCCGCATTTTTAGAATCGGGTGTAATAGCAACCAATCCAGCATCCGTTGGAAATGCGCAAGTATCACGCTTTTGTAACAAGTTCTTAGAATCTTCTGCTCGTGGTGATGCATGAAGTCTATTATGAGAGTGTCGTTTTTGTAAGATATCGAGATGGGATAGCCCATGGCCCAGCTTGGCTTCGCAAGGTAATAATAAGATTGCTGCGACAGCAATTGCGATTGGTACATTGAGGAACTTCATTGTGAAAGTGGTGAAGGCTGCGATCAACCAAATTCAGCTCGTATTGCAAGATCTTTGATGCGCTTCTTGTTCTGCGTGTATCCTTCCTTCCTCTCGTATGTGTTGGCGAAAACTTGGCGTATAATATTTTCCCCCTCAAACTAATGATACCCACGAAGTCAATAAAGTCAATAACGAGTCGGATTCAAAATGAGTGAGTTGCTTTCTATAGCAAATTTAATGAGCGTAATGGCGACGAGCAACCAAAAAAGAGTAAACTTTGAACACACTTGATATTGAAGAGAAGGACGAGGATAAAAGATGTAGGGAGTGAAGGTGGGCGGGTGGATAAACGGTTCAGTTGGAGGTATCTGCGCTTGCAGGTCACCAATTCCATATGGGAATGGTTTAGGAACGCTCACCAAAAAGGTCAAGGCATTTCCCCATTTCCTCTTTCCTATCTTTCTCATCACACGTTAGTTCACATTGAGTCTTTGACAGGCTTTGCACAGGCGGCATAGGAAATTGGATGATAGAAACCATGAATTTAACCTCAATGAGGCTTTTATCTTCCGTTCAATTCCAAGATTGATTGGACATGTGAAAAGCCATAATGTTGTGTTCCTGACGCTAATGTTTGAACGGGAATTAAAATGAAGAGATCGACCAATGATAAGACCCATGTAATTGAGATAGTTTAAATTAAATGAACCAAATAAGGTTTAGAGCTGATTGAAAGACATGCTTCTGATCCTTGTGTTTTTTTCTTGGCCGTTGGCGGGAAATATCATCAATTGAATGATAAAATTTGACATCCGTAATAGACCACGACGAAAGTCGGATCAATCAAATCAATGCTAAGAACACTTCTCGTTAAAAGATTTGCATCCCCTCTTCTCGTAAATTGTTACATCTTGAACTCTGAAGATCAATTCCCCCCTTTTCTTCTCCAATTCAATAGTTACAGACCCAGACTGCTAGCATTCGTTTGCTTGGAGATAAGAAGGAAGGTATTGACGTAACTATTTATCTTTACAACGCCAGGTATGCGTAGACTTGAGTATATGTATGGAAGCATTCTCCCGACTGTTTATTTTGGAAACCAGCTGGAATGCGGATACATATCCATGTGTATTAAGCCAACTCTTCGGCGAATCTCATTAAATATCGGATAAGTTCAAGGGGGCACAGCACAAGACCGGTACCTGGGTATGGATTGAAGAGAAAAGGTACCGGGGATCAAGCGATTGCGGAGGTGAACCCTTCTTGCAACTATGCCGAAAGGAGATCACAAAAGGAGATCACAAAAGGAGATCACAAAAGGAGATCACAAAAGGAGATCACAAAAGGAGATCACAAAAGGAGATCACAAAAGGAGATCACAAAAGGAGATCACAAAAGGAGATCACGACACTTTCAACAATTTCGGCATTCGTTCGTGATACTCTCATCTCCATACTCCTAAATTGTAAGTGTCAAACTTTAGATACGTATATTGAGACAGGGACTTGTTTGAATGTGGCCAAGTTCAGAGTACTACTCAGATCCTCCTGATAACATGCTTACTACTGATGGATGCATCGTGCAAATCCATTTGAAGGCTGAGGGTGCTTTTTTTCCCCTGTTGTGTGCCACTGGCGGTAACAAAGGATTTTTTATTCATATTGCACGTTGCGCTCATGGCCTTCATCGTAACTATCGTATTGCAGCCCAAATAATCCTACTATGAACAAATCTTTATACAAATAGTCAATTCGGCAATATCATGGAACTTGCTTACAAAGAGCATGGCTACAGTCACGTGAGCTGCCTTCAAGTGAATCATCAGCCTCGTCCAAGGCTACTTAGCCTTGGGCTAGAACCCCACCACAGCTTGAAGCTACAGCATACATTACCTTCAATAATCACGGCCATCGAGACATACCTAGTCTCTCATTACGCAACAAATTGGCGCCTCGAAAATGTCGGCACAGCAAATACCCAACCTTCTCTCATTGCGAGGTGGATCTCGGTCTCGTGGCAGAGGTAGAGGGCAAGGCTTGCGCGATCCTTTGAATCCTCATTCGGAGATCTCTTCAAATCGTAAAGATAATGCCATTCAAGGTACCGACACAGATGCAGCTGTATCTCGTCTTAGTGCAGTCAATCTTGGCTATCTAGAGGACCAGTTTGCTCATTATTTCGTCAAAGGAAGTGGAACACGAAGGCTGCCAATCATAAATAGAGGTTCGTTAGCCTTCGTTGCTGCGAGTGCAGTCCACTGACCTACTCGGAACCAGCTAATCTGTGACTTTGATTAGGTACATATTCTCGTACTACTGCTTTAGACCTCCTCATCGAATCCTTCTTATCACAACCTGATAATTCTACTTCACAGCAAAAACAAATAATATCTTTGGGTGCGGGAACAGATACTCGCTACTTTCGTCTTCGGGCGAAGAACCTGCACAGTAATGTCATTTACCATGAATTTGATTTCCCATCTGTATGCGTTGCGAAAAATCGTTTAGTACAACAAAATCATGCAGAACTCATCGGAAATGAAAAGTTCTTTGAAATCGGACAAAAGGATGGCGAGCTCGCAGAATTCACGGCGGCTAGTGGGCCACAAGAAAATACAGAATGGGGATTCAGCCGCACTATTGAGTCTCGTTCAGAGGTTGGATACGTATGCCATCCTTTGGACCTCCGGAAACTACCCGGCACAATTGGTCTCGATTCATTTCATGGTATCAAGAGTAACATTGCCACACTGATAATATCCGAATGTTGCCTATGTTATCTTGAGGTGAACGCGGCACAAAGTATCATAAAATGGTTCACAGACAAGATTCCAAGTATTGGGATTGTTCTTTACGAGCCAGTGGGAGTACAAGATGCTTTTGGACAAATGATGGTAGAAAATCTAGCATCAAGAGGAATCACTATGCCTACGGTGCAGAAGTATAAGACGCTTAATGATCAGAAGGATAGACTAGTAGATCTTGGGTTTGGTAACGCGATGGGTGGCATCAATGCCGTGAGCATAGAAGATTTCTGGGAACATTGGGTCGCACGCAAAGAAAGAGAAAGAGTGGACAGGCTTGAGGGTCTAGATGAAGTTGAGGAATGGCTTCTACTGGCAAGACATTATTCTGTTGTCTGGGGATGGACAGATGATTTAGGTTTTGAGGGTCTAAAGGCCCTAAGGCCTTGATATATAAATGATAATAGCCCATGAATATCTACAGGTGCACCGCTTCGGGCCAAACTTTCCATTTCATTGCTCTTAGACTTTGTAAGCTCAACGCGAATCCCGTGCTCCCTCGATGGCTGACGATATTAAGATTCATGTAATCCTCTTCACAAAACTCATTATTTTAGCCCAACAGTCGAAAGAACTACTGTTATATTCCCCCACTTCCCCCCTTCATCTTCCCCAGAAACATGATGAAACAAATACAATGCCACCCAATGCTTCATACGTTATGGCAGTTCGTCCGCTCTGAGAGCCTATGAATTTGCATGAATTTTGAGATATGCTTAATTAGCCGAGTCTCTCATAAGGTCTAAGACTCAAGGAGGTTGCGATTGATTGTCTCAAGATTAGATGGTCAATTCGCAATTTCGCATGGAGGGCGTGTGACAATCCAACCACAGAGGTCCATGTTGAAAAAGGGGCAAATCCAAGTCCAAGTTATCAACCACTAGTATCTATGTAGTGTCTCACAGTACAATGGCATACTGAAAGCGGTGTTAACATCGTCGACCAGATTTCCGGATAAACCGGAACTTGACGTGGAGAATGCTTGTACTGGAGTACTGATTACATCATTAACCTCCATGAAGATTCATTGAAGTATCTAGTACCCATCTTTCGATATTCATTAGAAAACAATGAATTTGAAATAACGCTTATATTCTCTAAGAGTCCAAACACTCTTAGCTTCGAAAAGTCTATAAAATGTCAAAACTAATGGTGTTTCGAATCCGTTTGAACATCACAAACATGTCAACTGATGAATCGGAATAACTCCGGAAACAAGCCACATCCGCTCGTACCGATGCGCTAAAACAGGATACGGAATCAAGTAAAACCACATGCATTTCTCATCCTCCTTCAGAACAACAAAACTTCATATCATTCGAGCGTAAAAATATTCTTTTGAACTTCTTTGTATTCAATGATACCCAGCCAGTAACTTCAAGTTCATGGAAGATGGCGGTTCTGGGCTACGAGCCCCACGCTACCCAGCGGAAGATACGAGTCCAACAACCGATCGAGAGCTGAGAGGATTTTTTTGTTATGGATTGGCAGCTGAGGTATTCGCTGTTTGTGCTGTCGGTACGTTATATTCTTGAATTCAAAAATGCCAAAGTTGACATAGTATACAGGTTCATTTCTACCCGTTACATTAGAACAACTTGCTCGTGAACAAGGCGTTCTTTTTACAGACAAAATCACACCTTGCACGGCGAAAAATGCAACCGCTATTGCAAATGCTACTGTTAATGCATTGATGTCAAGAGCTGAAGGCTCAGATACGCATCAATGTATCATCAACGTGTTTGGTACTGAGTTGACCACAGCAAGCTTTGCAATGTACACATTTTCTTTTTCTGTATTTATGCAGGCTCTTGCCCTTGTCTCTGTCAGCTCGGTTGCTGATCATGGTATGTTTGTTAGTAATCTTATTATCTATCTTAAATCTGACAGTTTCCAGGTACTTGGCGTAAGAAGCTTCTAGCAGGATTTGGCTTCACGGGATCTGTGTCTGCTATGCTTTTTCTTCTGGTAGTTCCACAGATTTTTGTAGTGGGGTCCCTGCTGACTGTCATTTGTGTTGTGTGTCTTGGATGCTCTTTTGTCATTCTTAATTCTTACTTGCCATTATTGGTTCTGAATCATCCACTTGCTCAGAGCAATGAAGATCATTCAAATGGCTCCTCATCTGTTCCTCTTCAGCCAATATCTCCCGGACACAGTAACCGAAAGCCGAGAGAGAGCTTCCGCCAAAGAGCCGACAAGGAAGTCAATGTAG